ATGAAGACAGCGTAGAACCATAGAATTGTTCTGGTGAGGAGACCTTCAAAATAGTCCCATTAGTAATCCTACCATCTGAGTGCTCCACATTACATTAACTCCTAAATTATTGTATGGAATATCTGTTGACTTTGCTCCTGTATTATGGGTCACTGATAGGCTGAGTGAACTGAACAAGGGATTAAATTTGGGTTAGGGTCTTAACTGTTACACAGCAACTCTTGTGAACAATTCTTTGTTCAGCAGTCAGGCTTTAGAAAGGGGAAGTTGAAGTGCTGCACTTCAGCTTGGTCTGGAGGAATCTCCACGTTCTTGTGTGAAATGAATGATAAACTCAGAGCAGTGGCTAACGGGGAGCTGGAGAGCTGGGGTTAACTGGTTTCATTCTGATAACTCACTGAGTGATCCTGCAGGAGTCACACTGCTCCTGGCAGGGACTGGACAAGCCCACAGCACCAGGTCTTCAGTTTCTGAGGTTTTTATGGAAGCATCTTTAAATGTTACCTGTGTTTTCTAACATGTTGCTGTTGCTTTTGTGCATCTCCCTCCTCCTTAAGTTTCTGTTCAGTTTCTTTTTCACCTTTAGAGGTGTGTGCTTAAGTTTGGTTCTGCCACTGCTGTCCCAGGAGCACAACCCCTGTCTTGCCCTGTCCAGAGTCTGCCCTTGAGCTCTAAGAGACGAGTGACCAGGAAACTTCTGGGATTTTTTACATAGGGTGGGGAAAATGACCAGCAGCACAATCTCACTTGATAGTGAAAACATTTCCTCTTCCTTCCACTTTATAGCACCAAATGGGAGCTTTTCTAAGGGAGGGTTCCTCCAGCATCTCGGGCAGCTCTAGTATTGTCCCTTTTCATTGATAAAATTGGCCTCTTCTAGACAGAATTTACTGCAGATGGAGATGGCTGAGTTGTTCTGAAGGCCACTTCCAGCCACGGCTTTTCTCATGCATAGATATTTGGGTTTGGCTGGGAGTTTTCTGGGCTCTCATGCAGCAGAATTTGAGGGCTTTTAATCCACACTGTATTTTCCTTTCTGCCCCAACCCTGCGTGTTCCAATCAAAAGCCACGTGCATCTGCAGGTTATGTAAAAATCCACATAGAAGGGCTCTCTCTGGAAGGCACTGTAAGACAGTGAATGGCTGAACCTCACAAATTAATAAGTGAAGAAATGTATTAAAGTGAAGATATTGCCTCAAAAGTGTTTTTTTAATTTATTTTGACAATCAGCTTGAATAATTTATTAGCATATTTCATAATGTACCAGTAAAAGGACTGCTGGGAACATTTAGGAGAAAATAATTAAGTCTTAGAAATTGGGCACCTCAGTACAGTGGTTTTTCTAGTGTAAAATCTTTCATCTTTGAAAAACGTGTAAATAAGCAGCTTGGCCCCAGGGAGCTCTGAGCACCAAACTCCACGTGCCTGGGACCAGATCACCAGTGCTTGAGGTCAGCTTCCAGTTCTACCACTGATTTCCAGGTGACCTTGGACAAATTATTTTCCCTTTCTGTGTTTCTTTCTGCAGAGAAACTTTTCTACTTAAATCTTGAGATCTTCAGGATGAAGATAGTTTAATATTTGTTCATTCAGTCAACACGTGGGTAAGAACTAATTTTAGCAAAGGTCTTCAGTAGTTTTATTTTAAAAAATCAAATAATTAGATAAGGTCTGATGGGTTTTGAACACCCTCTAGTAGTAACTGATTGAAACGTGGAGTAAGGGAAAGGAATGACCACCAGCTCACCCCTCTTGCTTCCCACACAGGCCTCTACAGCAGAAAGATTTCCCAAAACAGATCAGAGCCTGAATTCACCCAGGAGGCAGATGTGCTGACACCCTCACTGGGTGGGGGGGATTTGGGAGGGTTAAGCAGACGTCCATGTGCTCTCACCTCATTCTCTTCTTCCAGTGAATACTCAGCCCTCCTTGGTGAGTGCTGACAGAAGTTTAAGAAATATTATTGTATCCTCAGGGGAAATTTTCTTCTTGAGGTTTTCTCTTTTACTGAGAAAACCAGGAAATCTCCAAATTGTTAATCCTTGCTACTCTCACCCTTTTTTGCTTCAGTAACAACTAGATTGCTCCCCACGTCCAGTTTTGACCCCAGCTCCTTGCTGGTGGGTGTTGGTTGCATGACTCTGTCCAACCTCCTCTGGGTGGGGCCGTGTAACTGGGGCATTCCAAACAATTTGTCTGTTTTATTTTTTAAAAAGAGAACTAGCTCTGGAATATGCTGGGTGGTTAGGTGTGCATGTGCTGAGTAAAGGTGAGGATTAGGTGATGAGCTGCAAAGCGTAGCTTGTTATTGTAAGAACATGTAGTGCTGCTCTACTGGAGAGTTAAAAACTGCTGCATAGGTCTGGTTTAAGGAATGAAATAACCATTCCATCCTCATCCTTCCAGTTTACATCCAAGTTTTGTCCGTTTTTCAAACGTGGGATAATTTCCTAGGAAGACAAATTAAGTCGGGACAGGTAAGAGCTGCCTGAGAAGTGAAAGCCCCAGGTCACTGTCAGGTGTTGATGTCAAGCAAGTACCAGTAAGAAGTACCAACAAGTACCTACAAGTAAGAACAAAATGCTGAAATAAAGCAATTGTTCCTTGTCCCCTCAGCAGCAGAACAATCAACATTGTGTGTGAACAGAGGGAGAAAAGTGGAGTGAGGCAAACCTGTAACCTGGTTTGTTGGTGCAGCATCAGATTGTCTCTTGATTTATTAAAGGAGGATCTTTGTCAAGCCACGGTGATGTGTAGTTGTCTACCAGACTGGGGAGAGTGTGTTTGAGGGTTTTTTTGTTGGTTTTGTGTGGGGTGGTGTATTTTTTTTGAAGTTGCCACCAAGCAGATCAGTTGGTTGCTTCCAGTTGCTGGTTGTGTAATTGTGTGTACAAATCAGGCAGGGGGTTGTGCCTTCAGTTCTTCCCTTTTTTATGCTGTGTCCCTGAGCTACTTTGGTTTCTAAATTCAGGCCTTACATATTTATCTGTGCCATTCAATTAGACCACATCCCCAACGCTGCTCTAGAGTTTCACAGTATGTGGGAAATTTGGTAATTAAATGCATGCAAATGCTGCAAGAATAGAATAAATTAATTTTTCCTTAATATCAGCAGGCTATTCTGTGATGTTTCTGGAGATAATGTGACCAAGATACTGGCTTTTCTCTCCCCTCTTGCCATCTTTTTTGAGTCTTTATTATTATTACTTTAAAAATACCTGGTCAAGTTGATAGGAAGAGTCCCAGGCTGTGCTGTGCAGTTACAGAAGGAGGTGGATCTGTATGTAAGTTTTTTGGATCTCCAAATAAAACCTGAGATGGAAACAGCATTTCACGTTCTACACGTGTGGCTCAGCTTTAGATTTGTGTGTGAATCCAAGTGAGGCAGTTGCAGGGAATAAGCTGCAATCACTTTGAAGGCTGTTCTCCTCTGGATGTGTGGGGCTTTTGGAGGTACCTCAGGTATGTGCTACAGGCTGGGATCTCCAGCTGGTCTTGAGAAAGGACTGGGTTATTTGGGAGCTGTATTTGCTCGGGAAGTCCAGTGCAGTCCGTGGGAGGTTGTGATCCTTGGTTTCATTGCTCAGGCTGGGGAGATGTGTCCTGCCTGGCCCATAGGGGTGGGAGTGCCCCTGGCTTCTCCAGCCCTTCCCCCGTGGACACAGGACAGTCCTCAAAGCCAAGGGCTGTGAAGGCTGTTGGTGGCAAACATTGTACTAAAATAGGTAAATTTTAACAACTCCATTCTAGGTGATAGTTTTTAAGGAATTTGAAAGTCGTTCCTCTTCCAGAGATTCCAAATCTTTCATAGATGTTTTGGTGCTGTGTGTGTTAGCTTACAAGATCTGACCTTACTGATGAGCTTTCTCCCTTATGGAAGGAACCTTGTCCTGCACAGCTTTCAGATTCTTCCCGTGCTGTATACTCGTGGTTGTTTTCCCTTTCCTCCTGAATTTGTTGCCACTTTGGTGCCTGGGTCCCTCCCTGAGGTGCCAAGCTGTGGCAGGGCTGGGTTCTATTCCAGCCTGCAGTACTGCAGTGCTGTTGCATCAGTGCAGGCTTTCTGTCATTCCTCTCCTCTCTTGGCCTCCTCCTGGAGTGTGAAAAGCTTGAGGAGGCACCAGGAGCTCAGAAATGCAATAGCTGCTTGTTGCTGCTTCTCGGGCGAGAGCTTGGCACAAGGTGCAAAGCTGCAGAGGGTTTGTAGGCGGCCGGGTTCGGCTGAAGGAACTTCCTCAGGGCAGGAGGAAGGGGGAAAGGGAGCGAGGTGCGAGGGGTAGGGACAGTGGAAAATCCTCTCTGAGGATTTTCTTCCTTCCTTTGCAGGTTGGAAGGTCTGCGAGGTCTTCCTCAGCTCTGCTGCTGCACCTTGGCTGCTCCCCTTTTCTTTTTATCATGGAGAGCTGCTCGTTTGTGTTGCCAGAAGACTCTGCCTCTAACCCACATGTTCTAGAAATTTAACTTTCAGAAATTACCATTGTACTTGGTGAAATTGTAAAAAAATGATTTCATTCTTAGGCCCTGAAAGGAATGAAACCCCTGATCACTAGTTGTTGATAGAGTTGTTTTTCAGAAGGATTTCTGTAGTGGAGTTTCTGCTCTGTGGAATAGGGTTTGTGGTCAGGAGAGCCCCAAACCAGGGCGGCCGTCAGCGTGGCCGTTGGAGATCCAGGTTCTGCCTGAGCTGTAGAACGTGGTGAGGCAGCGTGGTGGGCAGGGACGGGCAGGTTCACCCCGTGCCCAGGAGGTTCACATGGCAGGCAGGTCCATCCCCACCCAGCAGTGATGTCCTTCTGCCCATAGCTCGTGTTGGGTCTCGTGTTGGGTCTGCCCACCTCGCTCGGCGAAGCCTTGGTGACCAGGGCTGCCTTTGGGTCACCAGTGCTGCTCTGTGCTGCCTGTTCTGGCAGGGACTGACTTTGTTCTGCTCTTTGCTCCCCTGCAGAGCTGACCTGTCCGGGGTGCAACATCACTAAAGAAGCTGCTGCAGGATGAAAAGATGGCAGCACGGCTGCTCGCACCACCAGGCCCTGATAGTTTTAAACCCTTCACTCCGGAGTCTCTGGCTAACATTGAGAAACACATTGCAGAGCTGAAGAAGAAGCAGCGTCCAAAGCAAGACAGCAGCCACCGGGACGACGATGAAGACAGCAAACCAAAACCAAACAGTGACCTTGAGGCGGGGAAGAATTTGCCTTTCATCTACGGGGACATCCCAAAAGGCCTGGTTGCTGTACCACTGGAGGACTTTGACCCTTATTATATGACCCAGAAAGTGAGTCTGCAAGAAGGAAGTCACTAAACCACCTTTTTTTTCTTGGGAAATCACAGGTTTGGGTATGGTTTGAGTGGAAGACAAAGAATGGAGTCTTTGGAGGGGGCTTGTTTGGTCGGTTTGGTTTGTTCTGTGTTTTTCTTGGAGGTGTAACAGAGGTTATATGATTGATCTTTAAACACCTGCTTGGATGGATTTAGGAGTACAAGGTCTGGAAACTAAAACCAGATGAAGTTGTAATAACGTGCCATTTTTAACCATGAGGGCAATAAGGATTTATCTGATGGGTAACAGTAATTGTTCTGTGTGTATTTCTTTACCTGCATGGAATTCAGTCTGAATTTGATTGTTATGAAACAGTGTGATACAGAATCGTGACCAAAGTGAGATAAACTAATTGACTTCCTTTCATCTTCATGATTTTTATGTTTAAAATATTTGCCTGTGGAATTGAGGTGGTGTGGCAGGAGGCATTTATAGGTGCTGGGATGTATTAAGTGGTGAGTAAGCTGTGCTAGAAATGGAGGGCAGGGATCTTCTGGTGAAATAAAGGAGAGCATGATTACTGCTTTTCCTAGAAGGCTGCATGACTTAGAACAGAGATACTTCTCCACTGTTTAGTTTCATTGCTTTCTTTGATAGCAATTTAATTTGAATAAGCTGAGACAATGACCATCTCTATCTCAGCCTTGGCTGTGCCACTTGAGAAGCTGGAGGTTTGATGGTGTAGGTGACAATTGTGATGTGACCTTTCAGAACCTGGGTAGAACAGCTGTCAGGTCACATCAGGACGTTGGTGTGGGTAACAGAATGTTTTGGGACTTTGGGGCAGATGTTTCTTGCCACACTCAGAACAGTTTTGTGACTGGCAGGGTGTTATTCACATGAAATCCACTGAATTTGCTGCGAATGGCTACAACTGAACGTTCTTTTCTGCATTTACACAAGTGAATTTAATGTTTATTTGTTGTGTCAGTGGTGCAGGGTACAGGCACCAGCTAGAAACAGGGTGTTGGGACACTGTGGTTTGGGGGGTGTTGAATACTGGGCAGTCTGGTGTTCAGGTGGGTGTTGTACTTGAGGAGATGTCCTGACAGCTGCTGTTGCTGGTAAGAAGGTGGCTTACGTTATCCCTTGGGAATGGTTTCTCTTTATTAAGCAAATGTTTTCTCTCTGTTAAACCTGCTGCTGCCTGGTTTTGCTGTGGGCAGCCTGTGAAAAAGAGACGTGGAGCTGAGGAGCAGTTCCCAGGATTTCTGGTTGTGTGTGGCCACTTGCACCCAACCAAAGCAGGTGTTAGGATATTTCCTAGCAGGAGTGTTTTGTGCCCTCTTTGCATCCCCGTGGCTGAGCAGACAGTCTGTGGGGGAGAATTGGGCCATGTTCTTTCCAGCTAGACAGGGGAGCTGTGCTGGAGGGGCAGTGGGCACTGCTGTGTCCTGGAGCACTGGGCAGAGGCTCCTTGGTTGTCTCAGTGTTCCACCAGAAGTAGGAGGCAGAGGAGAACCCCGTCAGCCCTCACGCTTTATCAGTCTCCATATTTGCTTCCCAACACCATGCTATTAATAAATCTTTCATTTTTAGAGAAAAAATAAGCCACATTCCCAACTCTGAAGGCATCTGTCATGTCTCCAGAAGAGAGCTGTGCGTTTCTGCCTGCGAGTTCCTGCTCACTCTGAGTGCCTGCCACGCAGAGATGGGAGCTCTCCGTGGAGCTGGAGCAGCTGCAGATGGAGGAGAAGGTTCTGGAGATGGGAGACAAACTCATACAGCCCTGCCAACCTCTGTGGGAAGAGCCTCGCTCTTCCAAAAACACTGGATTCATGTGGTACTGGCTCTGGCTCTGCTGCACCCACTTCAGGGTGGCAGTAGCTCAGGTGTGTGCTGCTGCTTTGCTGCTTCAGATAGTCAGTGACTTCCCACAAAGTTTTTTTTAAGGCCATTAAAAAAGGCCCTTCTCTGAATCATCAGGAATTACGAATCTGCTTGAATCATGGGAAGTTTTCCAAGTTTTTTTATGTTTTTTTCCCTCTCCAGCCTTTGCCAGGAGGCTTTGCATCATAGCTCCTTTCTTTTAAAGCTAGACATACAGCACTCAGAGGGACAAATCAGCTGGTTGCTTTTCCTTGCAGTAGGACACGGTGATCTTGGTTTATCTAAGGAAATTGAAACTGCATTTTAACTGAGAAGCTGAACTTTCCAGTGGCCTGTTAACTGATATTTAGAGGAGAAACAGCGTGACCTAGAAACAGAACCATGGCACAGGGAGTCAAAACTCCTGGGTTCAGAGCCCAGCCCTGCAAGTGATGGTTTTGTCCGAGCTACTTCTCTTTTCTCAGCTCAGGCTCAGTTTGCAAAGTGGGAGTAACTACTCTTAGGAAAACCAGGAAAGTCCCTTTGCTCCCAGGGGAGCTAATTTATCTCCTTCTTGTCTTTATAGAAGTACCAGGGAGAATTTTTTCATGATTCTTTCTTTTGCAAATAGAAATCACCTTCCAATTCCTGGCCTGACGCACGTGATAGAAGCAACACTGGCCCATGATACTTGTTGTGGAAACCTGAAACATTTCAGTGAAAACAACCCCAAAAGGCAGGTTCAGGAACTTGCTTATTTACATATGCAAACAAAATTCAGGAAAGCTGCTGTGTGAGCATCCCTCAGGATGAAAGGAAAACCACCAGTTGCCTCATAGTCTGGTTTTCCTTCAGTGTTTGCTTAAGCAAGAGGTAGGGACCATCATCCTCTTTTATCTCTTCAACCTTACTAGTATTTCTGGTTTTTAAAGTATTTCCATCTTTTAGGCCCTTTCCTTCTCTTCCATTTATGGCTGAGGCTGTCACTCCTACTGAATAACTCCTCCTGCTGTTCCTTCCCACTGAATGTGACTTTTGCCAGGCTGGGGTAATTTTCCTCAAGTAACTCTGATTTCATGCAGTATGAGCCTCATATTTGCCACAGAGCAAGGTAAAGGTGCTAATACTCCTGCAGTGGCTCCATTGACAAGGCATTAGAAGGTCTCTGAATATTCTGGGAGTTGAGACCAGCTTTGATGGGTTGATTTCAATGGAAAAATCAACCCTGTGGTTGTAGAAGACTGCCTACACATCTGTGATTTCTGAGGCTGAGGGGGACTGCCCGAGGTCACCTATAGCTTGCAGATGAGCACCTGAGGATCTTCCTAGTGCCTATGTGCCAATGGAGTGACTTGCAACTTTGTCAAGTCACATGCACGGTTTGGAAATGGGCCCTTGGGTCCAGAATGTCACCTTGACTGGGAAAATCACAGGGATGTGAGAGAGCAGCTTGTGGGAGGCACATCTGGCTCCTGCATGTGCTCCAAGGAGCCTTCCCTTACGGCCTCAGGAGAGCAGGTGATGGCCCTGCAAGGGCACGGTGCCATTCGTGGGGTTTGCATTTCAGTGTAGTCACTGAAACAGAAGGAAGGAGTGGGACCATCTCAAAAATCAGCCTTTTATCCTTCTTCCCAGTAGCTGAATACCTTTCCTGGATCTTGTGTGTTTAATACTCTTTTTAATTCCATTCCATCTCCCCAGCAGGTTTAAAAGCAGCAGAACAAGTAACTGTGTCCTTCCTAGCTATCAGCAGTGCTCTTGTGGTGGGATGAAGGGAGGAGGTGGCATCCCTGTCAGGTGTCTGCTCCAGTCCTTTCTGGGGGTTGGGTGGAAGGCCAAGTGTAACCAAGCAAACCCAGAGCAGTTTCTCCACGTTGCATGTTGAAATGTTCTTTATTTTTAAAATAGATCACAGGATCCCTCTAGTTGGAAAGGACCTGCAGGATCATCAGGCCCAACCTTCATCCCAACATCTCCCTAACCACTAGACCTAACCTCAAGTGTTCCATCTACTCCAGGGATGGTGACTCCACCACCTCCCTGGACATTCTTTCAGGAATGTTGCATTTGATAGATTTCAAAGCGTGTCAAAGGTTTTTTCCTGTGTTGGATTTGAAACAAGAGATGAAAGCAAGAGCAAAATGTGACAGATACTTTTATTTCCCCACGAGCTTTTCAGTGATGAAAAGGAAGTCACTAAGAAAGAATAAATCTGTCTCCTTTTGGGGAGGGCAGTGGAAAGCTGATATTCAGTCCTGTGGTTTCTGTATTAGCACGCACGGGTCTGTGAGCCAAAAACAGCCTTGAAAAATATTTTGCCTTGATGTTTATTTCTGTCCACACTTCTTCAGCCCACGGGGTGCCAGAGTTCCCTCTGAGTTACGTCTGGAAGCAGTGACGTTAAAGGAACTCGCTCAGGGTGTCACCAGAAAATCATCTCTCTTGCTGAGCACCAGCCAGTCACCAGGTACCGCTGGAGGAATCTGCTTCCATATGTCCCTGGGCTCCTCCTGGAGCTGGTTTCTTCTTCAGTCTTCTGCCCACTCCTTCTCACTTTCCAGCCATTACAGAAGCGCTTAATGTCAAACCCGCGTGAGGCGAAGGGCTCTGAAATCTTCCCAGAAGTGGGATGCTTTTTGCCATCACTGGATCCCTTCTGTCGTGCTCTCCAGCACAGCTGCTCTAGTGCATTATTGTGCAAGAACATTTAGAGAAGACTTCTCTTCTGTGATCTTCTTTTTCTGTGAGAACTGTGCCTAAAGTCACTGTGAAGCGCAGATCCCCAGCCAGCTTTGAGAGAACCCAAGTGGACAGAGCCTTCTTCATGACTCTTTAACAACAAATTGAGACTTCTGAGAGTCCAACTGGACTTCACCTCGTACAAGACAACTGCAAAATGCTTTTCTCCAGGTACCTCCTTTCTCTGAGGTTTGAGCTTTGCCTCAGCAGATCTTAAAAGGGCTTAAGGATGTTCTTGGACCTGAACCAGCAAACATTTTAAGAGCCTGCAGCCATTTTGAAATTGAGTTTTAATATGTCAGCAGCATAAAGGAAGAACGAAGATAAGGTTTTAAATTGCCAAACTCTTTTTGGCTTTTGTGCTCTTCCTTCTATTGACGAGGCCAAGAGGAGATTTACCCGGGATCTTAGACGTGTGCAGGGGAACTGGAGCAGCAGGACTTGGACCCATGGGAGCCCGTGAGCAGGATGGGATGAGCAGCACCTTATTTGTGTCATGGTTGTACTGGGAGGCCCAGTTACGGTGGGTTTCATAGAAAGGAATGATCTCAACAAGCACTGTGGTCTAAAAGGTGAAAACTGGGCAGAGTGTGGAAGAGGAGTGGCTGCCTTGCGTGAGGTCGTGTAGCAGATGAAGGACTAAGCCAGCAAACAGCATGTGGAGTTCATGTTTGGTAGGCAGTTGCTGAGGAACAGCTTCTGTTACAGCAGGGAATGCCAAATTCCTGGGTCAGTCCTTGTGGAACAGCTCCTGGAAATGTCTGTTCCCCAGGAATCTCCAGCGTGCCCGGGCAGACAGTCCCTGGCCCTCCATCCATCCACCTTCCCAGCGAGGCTGGCTCACCTCTCCAGTGCAGGTCTAATGGCTTTGGGGTGGTGTCCATCCCTGGAGCAGGCTGCATGTGCCCCTGTTGAGGGTTCCAGAGCTCTGGAACAGGCTCCCCAGGGAGGTTGTGGAGTCTCCCACCTTGGAGACTTTTCAGACCCTCCTGGATGTGTTCCTGTGTGACCTGCCCTGGACTAGATGGTCCTGCTCTGGCAGGGGGGTTGGACTTGATGATCTCTGGAGGTCCCTTCCAACCCCTGACATTCTGTGATTCTGTATCTCCATGGGAAGAGTGGTTTCACTTCTGGTCCTGAGCAAACCACAGGATCCTGCACAGACTTTTCCCATGTAGAGGTGGAGGTGAATCACAGACTCACAGGGTAGTCCTGGTTGGAAGAGACCTTTAAGCTCCTCAGGTCCAACCATGACCCCAGCACTGCCAAGTCCCCACTGCCCCGTGTCCCTCACCCCACATCTCCACGGCTTGGGAACCCCTCCAGGGGTGGGGACTCCACCACTGCCCTGGGCAGCCTGGCACAGCCCTGGGCAACCCTCCAGGGCAAGAAATTGTTCCTCAGGGACAACTGGAACCTCCCCTGGGGCAACTTGAGGCCATTCCCTCTTGTCCTGTCACTTGTTCCTTGGGAGCAGAGCCCGACCCCCAGCTGGCTCCAGGCTTCTGTCAGGAGGTGTCAGAGCCAGAAGGTCTCCCCTGAGCCTCCTTTGCTCCAGGCTCAGCACCCCCAGCTCCCTCAGCTGCTCCTCCCCACACTTGGGCTCTAGACCCCTTGAACCTCAGGCACCTTACAGAACCAGTGCATGGGGTTTGAGGGGGAGTCTCTGGCTTTGTCCAGCCCACCTTGTGCCCACATAATATTCAGCACAGTCACGTTGGAGATTTCATTGCTTAAAATATGTGGCAGAGTTGAGAGCTCAGGGTTGTGATGGGGACACAACTGAAGCCTGGGAGCATCCCAGTGTCATGGGATCCTGCTTTGAAGCCTCTGCAGGGGACAGTGGAGGATTTAAAAATGGTCAGTGACTCTTGGAAAGTTTGTGGCACCAGAAGATGAGAGACAGCTGGGTCTTGGAGTTGGGTGTCCCTTGACCACTCTCTAATCCACACTTTTGAAAAACTTTTGGCCTTTTAGAACAGTGTTACGTGCCAAGGGAACCTGTGCATGAATTCTTGATGCTGCCATTTCAGAGCTGGCCAGGGTTGTCTTCAAAGTGCTTTTGTTGGGAGGCACATTAGTGGGGATGGTAACTAACCCTGCTCACTCCGTGCAGAACCACAACCTGATTTGGATTTCCTTTTCCAATAATTTACTGCTCAATGGTCTAATTTAGCCAAACGAGCTGAAACACGTCGTTTCACTTTACCAGGAGGGAGATGACAGATTTCCTGAGAGCCAGTCTCCCGGGGAAGCACGGGGACTGCGTTGGCAGAGAGCCCTCCTGGATTCCCTGGTGCTGGGCTCCGGGAGCTCGGGGCTGTGCCAAGCGGTGGGCTGGAGCCGGGGCCATCCTGGAGGGGATGAAAACTGGGAACGTGGGGCTGGGGAAGGGCTCTGGCTTTGCAGCACAGGCAGGCAGCTCGTTTTAGCCCTCCCAGCCGGGCGGCGGGGGCACCGAGCTGCTGCTGAGCAGCCAGGGTTGGAGTTCTGCCTCTCCGGGTGGCTGCGTTGGGTCTGCGTGGTCAGGAGTGGGGAGGTGGAAGAGCTGCTCTGTGTTTTGAGGCTGGGGATGGAGAGATGAGCTCCGTTCTGCCTCACATTTACCTGATTCATTCCACAGGTTCTCTGTAAAGCCACAAACCTCAGCGTCTGGCTCATTAAAGCTGTGAGAGCACGTCCCTCTGCCTGGAGGTGGTGCAGCAACGTGGAACGTGCTCAAAATGGCCCATGAGTGGGGATGGTGGGCGTCTGACTCGGGTCTGCTGGGGTGGGGGGCTCTACCATGAGGTTTTCTTCCTGCTTACTTGTCAATCTTCCCTTGCAGGCAAGGAGCTGCCTTGTAAACCCGTGATCTGTTGTGGTAGCTCTTAGCGAGGTTTGGGAAGGAGCAAACCCGGTGCCCTGAAGAGGGTCCAGTGCACTGGGCTGTGGTGGGAAGTCTGGGCTCAGCTGCCAGTTCTGCTCCTCAATTTGTGGGCCCCCAGTGGCTTTGGGCCTCGGTTGTTATCTCTTAGATAGGGCTGACAGAGCCTCTGCCCTCGTGCCAGGGGACTGTGCTCTCAGGTGGGAGGTTTTGCTTCTGCTCCATCTGAGGTGCCCAGTAAGATGGATGGTTTGGAGTAGAATTACTCATGATGTCCTGGTAGGTATGTTTTACCCCATTAGGAACTTCATAAAGGAGATTATTCTTTAAAAAAACAGAAAATGCTCTTTTTTTACTGGGGAAGTTGCTTGTCTCTTTTTGTACAATTCATGCTTTGATTTTCATGCATTAACTCTCTCTCTTTCTCTCTCTTTTTCTTTCTTTCTTTGTTTCCTTACAGGCCTGTGTAGTACTAAACATAGGGAAATCACTCTTCCGAGTTAGTGCCACACCTGCCTTGTACATTTTAAGTCCTTTTAATCTGTTTAGAAGAATAGCTATTAAAATTTTGATACATTCATATCCTTTTTATTACTGAGCTGCTTTTGCCTTTATATGTTCCCTGACAAATCTCTTTCTGATTGTCTTATTGCTCAATTTAAATAGTGTCTGTGAACTACAGTTCTGCACATAGTGAAGTTGCATTGGCCTCAGAACATCCACAAAAATGTGCTTTTTTAAATGAAAAGCACAGTCCCTTAGACCCATCCAACTGAGTAAACTTGTTGTTTATTCTCCCTGCTAAATTCTACCTGTCTGTGCCCATCCTTCCATCAGTGGGCAGACGTGGATCAGTTTGGGAGCAGAAGTGATTTAAGGTTCTGCTCCACGTGAAGAGTTGAGCTTTAACTAGCTGCTAAAATGGTTAAATAGAATTAATATCAGGAGAAAGGAGCCAAAGTTCCCTTGTGTGTAATTAGACACTGACTAATTTCTTGCTCTTTTGGTGTCTCTCAAGCTGCCTTCTAATGGAGAGGCTGTTCCAAAATGTTCTACTGCAGGGCTTGAGGCAGCTTCCATAGCTTCAGAAACATTGTCTGCATGTGTTATTGGAAGAGGAAGAAACAACAGCAACAAAAAACAGAAGAGGAGTGTATTGAATGAGCTCCTTTGCCCTCTTTATTTATTTATTATTTTTAGAAAGGGACTCCAAAATGAAAACATGTTCATTTGTTGTTTTAGAGGCTTCTATATACTCACTCCCTGCACCTCATGTGGAGAAAAAGCTTTTCCATCTTCTCAAAGCTGACTTGGGACCTGAGGCTGGGAAGGTTTTCTCCAGGCTAAATCCCAGGTTTTCCATGGATGGCAGCACTGCTTTCCTGTTGGATGTATGAGCAGACAATGTATTTTGATGTTACTGAATAGATGGAATGATCTGGGGAGGCATTTGCATTTAGGCATGTGATTTTTGAATTGCTAAGAGATGTTAGAAAATGTAAAATAAATGGAATGGTGATATAAAAATCCTGTTCATATATAGTCAGCCTGCTCTGATTTCCCTTGCATTCTCCTGAATTTTTTCCTGATTTTCCTGGAAGCATCTTGGCTCTTATTGGCAGTCCTCAGAGAACAGACTGGAACTTGTTGAATTTTATTGCAGTAGAGGGATCTTTAGGGAGCTGTAAGGTGATGTAGAGCCACACTCGTGTCCCTTTGATCCTTGACTTTGTTCCACAGTATTTAGCATGATCATTATGTGCACTATTTTGACCAACTGTGTATTCATGACTTTTAGTAACCCACCTGAATGGTCGAAGAATGTGGAGTAAGTAACACTTCTTGTCCTTTTAAGAATCTCCCAGAATGTTTTTCTTCTGTTGAGAAATCTGCCCCTACTCACCTTTCCTTTTGCATCAATACAAGTCACCTTTTACAGCCACTTTATTCAGACAAAAACATTTATCAGTCCTCTTTTTTCACGGCTGAAATGACTTCCCTCCAAAGTCCTCAGCGTGGCTCTCTCTTCCTCTTGACAGGTACACGTTCACTGGGATTTATACGTTTGAATCACTTGTGAAAATCATTGCAAGAGGGTTCTGTATAGATGGCTTCACTTTCCTGCGTGACCCCTGGAACTGGCTGGATTTCAGCGTCATCATGATGGCGTAAGTTGGGTTTTTGGGTTGTTTCCAGTGTCTGTGGTGTCCAGGAGGGGAGGAGACCTTAGGAATAGAAGAGGGTGGGTGTGGAAGGAAAAAAAAAATCAGTCAAGGAAAGCTTAAGTGAACCCCCATAAGTTTTCTTTCTTGATATTTCAAAAGAAAGCTTCAGCCTGACACGGGGTCCCAGGTGTGAAATGCAGCTCCATGGAGTTGCTGCAAAAAAACCCTGTGATTGTCTGAAAACTGCCTTTATTAATGTAAGACTTCATGATGCTCCAAATGCTAGGGTGTTTTAGATTGCTCACATGCCAGGGTGGCAGCTTCTTCTGTTAGGCATAAGGCTAAGCCAAACATCTTTAAATTCCAGTCCCTGCTGCTTCTGCCCTCCTGGGGCTTGCATGTCAAAATTTCCTGGGAAGTGACTTGAGATTGAACCATGATTAACCCATGGGTGATGCAGACCCAGTGTCAGAAGAGGAGACCCTTTATTTTCCTTCCTCATTCTTTTTTCTCATGCCAGATCAGCTCACGTTGGTCTGATATTGAGGAGTTCATGGGGATGTCTGAATTCTCAGCTCAGCCAGGAGGTGCACACTAGATTTCTGGGTTTTGTCCTTCCTGTTGGTTGTTGCTTAGGCTTTAGTGCTGCTGGTGAAACGGGGTTTGTGTCACTGCTGGTCTGGAAGAAGAGAAAATTTTTCCTTTCCCTTTTACATTTCTTTTTTGGAATATTTCACGTGTGCCTCTTTGGGCTCCCAGAGTCAACAATGGCTGATGAAAACTGAGGGGATTGTGCAGGAAGGCTCAGAAGCCTGATTTTCAAGGGTTCAGAGCACTTGAATTTGATTTTAGTAAAATTAAATCATATTAAAATCACTTTAATTGAATAAAATGCCATTTTTTGCTTGGATTCTGCCCCGGAGGTTGTTGGTTTTCCTGCTCTTGGTCTACTTGCCTTTAAAATTACTAACCTTGAAATTATTAGATAATTTAAAATTTTTAAAATTTAATAATTAAAAGAGTTAAACAAAAACAAATTAAATTAAAACAGAAGGCAAATAGCCAGTAGCTCACTGACACTTAGGTTCTACCTCAGAATAGGTGGGGATCTGCTGTGCACAGCGTAAACACACCTCAGGAGGGAGACCCCCAGGCTCAATCTGACCTGTGAATTGATGATTTCTTTTGTTTCTCAATAAATGAACACGCCAGCTTTCAAAGGCCCTTAAATAAACGTGCTGAAGCTCTGGCAGATCCAACTGTGACCTCCTCATTCCCAGTGAGCTTCCAGTGCACTCCCAGCACAATCCTTTGTTATGTCAAGGGCTGGAGCAACCCTGCACGTTACTGAAATCCCACTGAGAGGGTCTAAGATTTAAGAAGCTCTTGAGGCCTTTCTACACCAGGAAGAATCTTGGATTTTGTGTGTGTCTTTGCATTTTCATGCCCTGTTTCTCCCCACGCAGCACAGAGGAAATTCTCTATTGTAGGTTGTGGTAAAACTGAACTCCTTCAACCTTGCACTAAGCTTCTTATCCTCTGTGTATCTCATGTTTATCCCCTTTTAAAATGAGGGTAATCAGACGTGTGGCTCACAAACAGGTAGTAAAGCATAAAGGATTACAACAAAGGATGCTAATCAAAGCAAAAGTCAGTTGTGCTCTATTAAAAACATGAGGTGAAGCGAATATACCCGAAACCACTGAGCTGAGGTGACGTCACCAAGTCTCCCCACACATCTGACAGGATAGTGTTAAATTTTCAGGTCCTCTATAGGCAAGAATGCAGATTTCTAACTGTGCAGGTGGACAAGCTGGTTGCAGCGTGGAGAGACTTAAACAGTGCCTTGGCTCTGAAATTCCCCCCCTCTCTCGCTTTTAAATACCAATTCAAAAGCTTTTCTTTAAATGACAACCTGTTTCCTACAAACAAGACAAAACTATATGAAAAGGGAAGGTGACCCAACGGTGCCATTAACTCTGGTTTAATTCTGCAGGTATATAACAGAGTTTGTAAACCTAGGCAATGTTTCAGCTCTACGCACTTTCAGGGTTCTGAGAGCTTTGAAAACTATTTCTGTAATTCCAGGTAAGGCGGCCTCCGGTTGGTGTTAGCTGTTGGGTGCAGGCCCCTGTGAGTGATGTATTGCTTCGTCCCTGGTGGTTGTTTTCTTTTGGTGTGTGTATTGTCATTGTGTTTTGTTTTTTTTTTTTTTTTTTGTGTGTGACCTCCCTCATTGCAGATATGTCACAGAGTTTGTGGACCTTGGGAATGTCTCAGCATTGAGAACTTTCAGAGTTCTCCGAGCTTTGAAAACTATCTCTGTTATTCCAGGTGAGAACCGTTCAGCATTAAAGGCTGGTCTTGTGTGTCCCTCTCTCCCATCTCTCCCCTCCCATCCTGCATTGCTTATTTCTCAAGAAATGGCACTGGGATATTTTTGATGGGCTTTGCAGTCTGTTGAAACAGGGTCGTTTGAAATTAAAGCTTCTGGGCCATGAAATTGTGGGATGAACACTCTCCTGTTCCCTACTTCCTCATCCCTGTGGCTAAGCTGATCTCTGGAGTGAAAGCCAGGCCTGAAGTTTAGTTCCAGATGAATAAAGGATCAGATGCTCCCTTCCTCCTCACACTGGATGGTTTTTTGCTCAGCAATTCCTCCCATTATCAGTATTTTTAGAGTTGTTTTAGGAACAAGGTTGTAAAGCAAGCGAGCAAAACCCAACCAAGATTAAAACCTTTCTGTGTGAGGCTACTTGGAGTTAGATGGGATCTTGGACAGGTTGTCTTCCAGGTAATGACCACAAGCTTGCCTCCCTGTCTTTGGAAAGGGTTGGTGCTGCCATGTTGAGGTAGATGAAGCCACAGGGGGGATTGGCATTGCCAGCTTTTGCATTGGTGTGCTGTAGTGGAGCCAGTTGTCAGCGATTAAAGCAGTAGTGTGTGGCCCAAAGTACCAATTCATAGACCTGCCCCATTCACTTGCCACCCCCAGAGCTGGACTTTGAAGGACTGATGCTTAAAAAGCTACTTATAGACTCTTAACTGGATTTGGGTGTAAAGAGTGAGCAATGGGCCTTCCTTTATGGTATGAGCCCGTGGGGGCATTATGGACTGGGAACATGGTTCTGATCCTGAACTCTTCTCTAGAAAAGACTCGTGCAGATGGTTTCTCTAAAGCATCCCTAATGTTAAAGGTCAAGCTCCAGGCTGAAGTCTTACAAGCATCTGTAGTTTTCCAGTTTTCAGGTGCTCAGCCTATCTCAAGGTAGGCACCCTAAATAATCACTCAATGAGTTTTGCTCTTCTGTTTCTTTGGCGTTTATTTCCTGACGCATTAACTGATAATGGTTCTTTTGCTTTCTGAGGCTACACTTGCATATACATTAGCCAGAAAAGAGTCTGTGGAATTATAGGAGCCCAGCACTTTCCTCCCCATTCCAGACTGCTAAACCCATCAGACGTACATGGCTGTTGTGCATGATGTTCTTAAGTGGCACCTGCTTTCCTTGCACTGAACGAGAGCGTGCTGGAGTAATGTCCTTCCATAGCCTCCCTTAACGTTTGGCGGTGCACATCCAAAAAGAGCCAAAGCTATTTGGTGATTGCTGGTCGCAGTGCTCTGGATGGACCTGGAGCTGTGACTCTATCAGCCTGCCACAGGTATTAACGGGCTTGCTGAGGGAAAAGCATTGATCTTCAGATGAGTCCTAGTGTGCATTTGGCTTTCGTAATCCTAGCAAAGTGAAAATGATGCAACTTTAATGAGCTGGTTACTAAGTGTGTGCCAGGATGTCATGTCTGCCTGGGGAACGGGGCAGAGCCCTTTGGGTTTGTAGCATTCTCTCCATACTACTCCAAACAAATGGAGTTTTCCTTTGATTTCAAATTACACCAAGGGAGGTGGATCTGAGACCAAGTTCTGTGCAGCCGTGCTTTTGATTTGCTGCCCACAGCCGAGGGTGGTGAGAGGTGATAGTGATAGGACAAGGGCTAATGGCTTCAAACTGGGAGAGGGTAGACTTAGATTAGAAATTAAGAAGTTCTTCACTATGAGATGGTGAAACACTGGCCCTGGTTGCCCAGGGAAGCTGCAGATGCTCCATCACTGGAAGTGTTCAAGACCAGCTTGGATGGAGACTTGATCAGCCTGGTCTAGTGGGAGATGTCCCTGCCCATGGCAGGGGGGTTGGAACTAGGTGAGCTTTAAGGTCCCATCCAACCCAAACCAGTCTATGATTCTATGAGGGGATCTTGTCTGAGTGTGGGACCAATTGAACACATCCAGGGCTGGAACTGTAAATGGCAAAACTTTGGTTATTTGTACCCGTTGGGCTCTGAGCTGGGGGTGCCCCAGCTGTGGTTCTGCAGCACACAGGTCAAGCACAACCCTTGCTCCCCACTCAGGTTTGCAACCAACAGTACAAGGAATGTGAAGCAGTTGTGGAATTGTGGAATTGGCCTTTTGGGTTGTTTAAGATGAAGGTGGGTGTGGAGTGCTCTCCATGGGGCTTAGTGCTACCACACCCCAGGCATTAGATATTTAGAATACACTTAATACTAAACTATAACAGGGTTCCCTTTCTGCTTCAGTGCCTGGAACAGAATGGGGATCTTAACACTGTGCTGAGCTAGTGAGAAACTCATCTTGGTATTGCAAGTAACTGGAATTATCCTCAGTGTGTTTATTGGCCAAAACAAGAATGGGAAATCTTACTAGAAAATGGCATGAACTGGACACAATCCCACACGGGTAGAGGCTCTGTGGATTTGTGTGACAGGAGTAGATTGTGGTACCTATGAGCTAAACTTCCAAATATCACTTTCATCTTGTGGCTTGGCAGACCACATGAAACTCTGTGGTGGCCTAAAGAGATTTTTTTTAATTGGCACTTGAGTTAGTGGTATTTAAATTGACTAATGCCATCAGTCTCTGGGCATTGCCAGCCTGTGACACACCTACAGGAATGAGGACCCAGGGTAATCTGGATCTGCAGCACACAAAGGCAGCTGAAGTTGTATTTAACCCGTGACCAGACTGGGAACACTCTTGCTGCCAGTTTATCATCTTGGTTCCAATCCCCATTCTCCTCCTGTGCCTGTGGGAGAGCAATGTCCAAAGCAGGGACAGGGAGGCTGGTGGAAATGCTGCATGTGCAGAGTGGTGCATTTTTGAGCATGCAAATAATGTTGTCATGGGCATTTGTCTGCCAGAACTAACAGCAAAAAAATGCTTTGTGTTGGAGTAGGGCTTTGGCATTGGTTAAAAGTTTTGAGGATTGAAGTAGAAGAGATTTTAAAAAATTATTATTCTGTAAGAATTCCTTTTTAATTGATGTATTTTTGAGGCTTTATGGTCCCGATGTGGATCAAACAAAAGGTTTATCACAGGATGCTCACACGGCCTCAGCTGGAGACCAGGATCTGACTGGCCCCAAATTCAGCCAGATCTATGATTTCCAGGTTTTTTTTCCCCTCTCCTTCCTCCCTTCAGCATCCTTCACTACTCGTTGATAAACACCAGATCATCCTATTTACCATGAGAAAGGCTGATGGAAGCACCCTAGTGCAGGATTGTTTCTGCATCCAAAGTTCTGGCTGGGTTTGAGGTGACTCCTGAGAGCATTAGCACTGCACACATCCCCCAGTTCATGGATGGTTCCTCTCTCAGACCAGACTGGTTTGGAAAACCAACAGGATTCTTGGCTTATGCCTGAGTTTACTGTGATTATTGGGCCCTTCCTATGAACAATCCTGATGGGCTCAGTCAAACCTTGGGAGCCAGCACCTTGGGTGAGATCCTGCCCTGCCCTAACAAAACCCAGGATCTAAAGGAAAGATTCAGCTCCCACAGGGAGATGGGAAGTGCTGAACCAGTTTAGTGAAGCAATAGAAACTTTAGACAGCTCGAAAGCTATTTGATCTTTGGAAGTTGTTGTAGTTTGTGCCAACAAGCCAGGCTCAAACACAACCAGAGGTGTCCGTGGAGAGGTTTGTGGCAGCATATTGTGATTGAACATCTTTAACAAGCCCAGTGTTCATGGCAGCGACTCCTGTGTGTGCTTTGCTCAGATATTCCCAGGGTGAACACGGGTGGCTTTTTGTTCTGTTACCAGTTCCCCCCTGAGACCAGTGAGCTTGGTTCATTCATCACCTTTATTGTGCCACGTGGAAAAACCCGAATGCGAGTGGTAGTTCCAAGGTTTGCTAGCAACCATCTTTTGCCACCGTGTCATGGCTGTAAGGTACAGTCACATGAATTTTCAAGGGCTTTTCGTTCCACAGGAGTGATTTCTAGTCTTGTTTTCTCCTCTGCAGGCTTGAAGACCATTGTGGGTGCCCTGATTCAGTCTGTGAAGAAGCTGTCGGATGTCATGATCTTGACAGTGTTTTGTCTGAGTGTCTTTGCCCTGATTGGGTTGCAGCTGTTCATGGGCAATTTAAGGAACAAGTGTGTGATATGGCCAATAAATGTGAACGAGACCTTCCTGGATAACGGCTCCAGGGGCTTTGACTGGGAGGAATACACCAACAATATGTGTAGGTATTTCTGCAGAGGTGCTCCCTGAAGCCGCCTGATTTGGCTTCATGCTGCTGACCAGGATTTCTGATGTGGTGTGTCCAGCTTTGCTCAGGAAAAAAAACCTTGTTCAGATATTTTTCAGTTTTTGGAAACCTGGCCTTGTCAAGGGGTTTCTAGTAGGTCTTGGCTGTGCTTTTTCAGCTAAATATTTTGTCCAAACATGATTTTTTTTTTTTCTCTGTTTTGTTTCCAATTAAAAACTGTTTCAATATGGGAAATGGGGCATAACTCTGCCTGTTTGAACCCCTGGGCTGGATGTTGGCACCTTCACTTAGTTTTGCCAAGTTCTTCAGAGAACACAGATGAAGTTTTGGTCCCTGTTTCTGCTTTGCAGCATCTTTCCACACTGGCAGGATGTCTGAGCTGTAAACGATGCTGCAAGGAACCAGCCTCCAAGCTTTTGTAACTTAATTTCTTCCTCACTTTGAGCTTTTCTACTGTGCAGTCAGCTGGTTTTAAATCTTTTTTCAAAATGCTGTACTCGCTTCCAGAAAGGTTTAAACTCAAGCACAGTTAGTGGGGCTAATGTTACTTAAAGCTGAGGTAGTTTACTGTTAAATTTATCAGTAGGGGATCTGGCAGGCTCTTCCAGGAAGGTTTTTATAGTGCTCTAGTATGTTATATCCTCTCCAACTCCATGTATGTGTGCATGTAATCTTCTCTTTCTCCTCTTCTTCAGCAAATTTTTACATCATTCCTGGTGCCCCTGATCCTTTGCTCTGTGGTAACAGCTCGGATGCAGGGTGAGTTTTGGGCTTTGTTAAAAGCAGAGACTAATTGCTGTTGGATGTTGGCTGCCTCTGGCAAAACTTTGGAACGTTTCCCGTTGCTGCCTTTGGTTCTGGTGTTAAATCCCATGTGAAAGGCTTCATGTTTCTTAATCTGATTATTAATCCATTGTTACAATCTGTTTGACTAATATAATCTAAACTGACATTTTTCATGGCATCTCAGGAGGCAGGTATGTCTAAGGATGATTACTAGTGGCATTATTTCCCTCTGAATCCAATCATAAGAATCCTCAGAGGAGCAGAGGATGGAGGTTCAGAAATGGAAACTTTCCATGTGTTGTTGCCTCCAGTTGGTTTTTCACCCATCAGTGTGTAGATCATGTGCCTGGCCTCAGCCTGCTCTGTCCCTTCTGCTGCCTGGGTGCCCTGAAACAGCCTTTGTCTCCCCCACAGCCAATGTCCAGAGGGTTACACGTGCATGAAGGCAGGAAGGAACCCCAACTACGGTTACACAAGCTTTGACACCTTCAGCTGGGCTTTCCTGGCTTTATTTCGCCTTATGACTCAGGACTTTTGGGAAAACTTGTATCAATTAGTAAGTAAACACTTCGCTTCGGTGTTCCAGGAGATGAGAATGTGGGGACAGTAGGTGAAAGGAAGATATGACAAGTGTTACTTTATTCCTCCTGCCTGAAGCAGCAGCTAGCAGTAAAGCTGGGCAGTGAGATGCTGTGTGTGGAGGAGGACAGGGACCTTGCCTGGGAGTGGGTGTTCTAAGCCCAGGAGGGGTGGTGGGTCCTCGGTGTGCGTACAGCTGAGCTGTGAATTAGTTCTGGCAGAGCCTGGCTGCCTGCTGCAGATGGTTGTGAGCAGTTCAGCTCTGCTCACAGGAGGTGCTCAGCCGCTTTGGAGGGCAGAGTGTTTCCTTGTAACCTGAGGACAGCTTGGGGATCTTGCTGAAATGGCTTTTTTTTCCTATTTTCTTTTGTTTTAAGGGAGTCTAAGCATTGAGTTTCGCACTGTTCTGAACCATTTTCAGTTTGCATCCGTTGGGTGTTCCCTTAAGAGGAGCAGCAGGATGTCACCTTCTGTGTCCATGGCTAATGAATGTGCAGTGTCTTAGTGCTCTGCAGTGGAAGTGCTGAGATGGGAAATATTCAGCACTGCTATATTTTCTTAGAAGCATTCAGGTCAAGACACTTGGGATCGCTTCACGTATCGGGTGTCACTCTGAAATTGCTTTCCCTTTTCCTTTTCTCTTCCTTCCACCATTCTTTTCTACTTCCAGACCCTACGAGCAGCAGGGAAAACCTACATGATCTTTTTTGTCTTGGTGATCTTTGTGGGATCGTTCTACCTGGTTAATCTCATTTTGGCTGTAGTAGCTATGGCTTATGAAGAGCAGAACCAGGCCACGCTGGAGGAGGCAGAGCAGAAGGAGGCAGAATTTAAAGCCATGTTAGAACAACTGAAAAAGCAGCAGGAAGAAGCACAGGTAAGGGTTTGGATTCCAGATTTTTGGATGCATTTATGTCTTTTAAGATTTGTCTCTTGCTCCAGAGCAGTGATGTATAATCAAAAACCACAGCAGTGACTTTGAGCACTGTTGCTTTGCTGTTGCTTTTTCCCCCGAGTTAAATACAAACTTGCTGTGTTTATTTTGTGCTGGAAAACTCCTTTTTATTATGGAAATGTTAAATGTTCCCAGAGTTCCCAGTTGAGCGTGGGAATATCTTTGCAAGACAGACAAGAGAATGCTTGTTAGTCCTTCATCAAGTAAGTGCTTTTAAGCAAAGCTGAGGGACTGAGAGAGATTTTACTACCTGCAGAAATTACTATAAAAACTTTTGCAAGTCCTGGCTGCAAATTTCTTCCAAGAGAAAGAAAAAAAACATCTGAATTCTACCCAAAGACTTATATTTGCATTGCATTAGGCCATACTCTTTCTTAAAGCAGAAAATGGAGCGTTAGTCACGATAAGGTCTGATTTATTTTTCTCTTCTCTTGCCTACACCCTCAGGCTGCTGCTATGGTCACTTCGGCAGGGACGGTCTCTGAAGATGCTGTGGAAGATGATGGTGGGGGGAGGATGTCCCGGAGCTCTTCAGAGATTTCCAAACTCAGTTCCAAGAGTGCCAAGGAGCGTCGAAACAGGAGGAAAAAACGGAAGGACAAGGAGCTGTCAGAAGGAGATGAGAAGTGTGACAATGAGAAGGTGTTCAAGTCTGAATCTGAGGATGGCATGAGGAGGAAAGCATTCAGGATACCCGACAACAGGCTAGGGAGGAAATTCTCCATCATGAACCAGGTAGTTTTAATTTCCTTCACTCATGTTTTACGCTCGCTGGTAGTCAGGATAATGTGCTAGTTTAGATATTGATTAGCACACCAAGGGAATCTGCCCACTGTTTGACCTGCAGCAGATCAGGAAGAGACTTACAGCCCAGGTTTACAGCCCTTGCACAGGCTCACCCTGGCATAAATTGTTCCCAAGAGTAGTGAATCTAACCAGGTAGCTTCTTCACTGATGTAGCTCAGCCAGCCACGAGTGAACAACTCCTAAAGTCCAGCCAATGCCTGAGGGATGATGGTTTGTGTAGGTCTGGAGAAGGAGTGAAACCACTTCATAGAACCATAGAACATTTGAGTTGGAAAGGACCTCCAAAGGTCAACCCCTGCTATAATCAGGGACATCTCCAACTAGATCAAACTCCTCAGAGCCTCATCAAGCCTGACCTTGGATGTTTTCAGGGATGGGGCCTCCACCACCTCTGTGGGCAACCTATTCCAGTGGTCTATCACCTTCATACTGAAGAACTTTTTCCTAACATTAAACCTAAATCTCCTCTTTTCTAGCTTAAAGCCATTACCCCTCGTTCTGTCACTCCAAACCCTTGTGAACAGTCCCTCCCCTGCTTTCCTGTAGGCCCCTTCCAGATACTGGAAGGTCGTAGTAAGATCTCCGTGGAGCCTCCTCCAGGCTGAACAACCCCAACTCCCTCAGCCTGTCCTCACAGCTCCAGCCCTGTCATCATTTCTGTGGCTCTTCAGCAGCACTCGACAGCACTGCAGCCCTTTGCTTCCACCCTGCTCACGCTCTCCTCTTTCTTTCCTCCCTCTCAGTCCCTCCTCAGCATCCCAGGCTCCCCTTTCCTCTCCCGACACAACAGCAAGAGCAGCATCTTCAGCTACAAGGGCCGGTTCCGTGACCCGGGCTCCGAGAACGAGTTTGCGGACGACGAGCACAGCACGGTGGAGGAGAGCGAGGGCAGGAGGGATTCCCTCTTCATCCCCATCCGGGGCCGGCCGGCGGCCCCCCCTCCAGCATGCCCGGGGGCCGCATCCTGCCTGAGGTGAAAATAGATAAGGCAGCTCCCCGGGACAGTTAGGTAGCGTGGGCATGGTGGCGTGTCCTCTGCTCCCGTCCTCCTGCCACCCTCCGAGGCTGCCAGGCTCCCTGGAATGAGGGTCCAGCTGTCTGTCCCAGCCCAGGCGACCCAGTCTGTACGGCGGCCCCCCCTCCAGCATGCCCGGGGGCCGCATCCTGCCTGAGGTGAAAATAGATAAGGCAGCTCCCCGGGACAGTTAGGTAGCGTGGGCATGGTGGCGTGTCCTCTGCTCCCGTCCTCCTGCCACCCTCCGAGGCTGCCAGGCTCCCTGGAATGAGGGTCCAGCTGTCTGTCCCAGCCCAGGCGACCCAGTCTGTACTGGAGTAAACACCCCCCCGGCTTTGGCGTCCCCTTTTTATTCCTTCTCAGACTCCATCACCCCTCTTCCTCTCCCCCCCGGCTTCCTGGGAAGAAAAGGCTTGGAACTGAGCCCTTGAGTGAAGGAGTGATGACAGTGGGAACCTTTGGGGTGTGTCGGGGTGCTCCAGCAGGAGCTGGGAAACCAGCCAGAGTTTGCTGCAAATGTTCTCCACAATAAGAAATATTTGGGGCTAAAAAGGGAGACACAAACAAATCTACACTGAATTTTGCGAGGGAGGCTCTTAATAGAAAAAAACCCCCAAATCTTCTTTTCTTGTTTTTGAATTTTTTTATATATTATGTTTGAATTTTCCTTGACTGTGACTTCTTGTTGTTAGCTGACCAAACTGGTCTTGAGCAACCCTTTTCTTAATATTATTTGTGACTTTTCCTTGACTGACTTCTTGTTGTTGGCTGACCAAACTCATGCTGAGGACCCTTTTCTTTAAATATTATATTTGAATTTTACTTCACTGTGACTTCTTGTTGTTAGCTGACCAAACTGGTGTTGAGCAACTTTTTTTTTAGTATTATTTTTGACTTTTCCTTGACTGTGACTTCTTGTTGTTAGCTGACCAAACTGGTGTTGAGCAACTTTTTTTTTAGTATTATTTTTGACTTTTCCTTGACTGTGACTTCTTGTTGTTAGCTATCTAAATGGTGTTGAGCAACCTTTATAGTGGATCAGCATTTCAGAATGCAGGAGAGAAAGCTCAAATAATTGAATGTCAGTTAGCGGGGCATAAAAGAACCTGGATAAGATTGAAACAACATCATTTAAGAGATCCCTAAATCAGTTGTTTTTGAGAAAAATCTGGTTACCAAGCCTATGAATTCCAAGCTATGTTTTATTTTTTTAGTTATTTCAATTCTTGCAACCTGTTTGCCCTTAATTAGGTCTGTTAAGCATCAGTTGCTACCTGTTTTTTTTTCCTTCCCTAGTTAGCATGTTAATACAATGTTTTGCTTCAGTATTTAACTCTCTCTAACACAGCATGGATGTGGTAGGGGCATTAATCTGCATGATGCATGTGTAAAAAAGGAAGTGTGACTTAGCAGTTATTTTGCTGACTGTGTAGAGAGTTCAACATGCAGCAGCTAATTGGCGTGGTGGGAGGTGTGCGTGGGCTGTGCAGAGACCTTGGTTCACAAGCAGACAGCAGCAAATTCCTGTAATGAGGGGAAAACAAAACCCAGTTGTCTGTTTGTACACAAGATGGTCTGTGCCTCACGGAGACTGGCGTTGCCAGAGCAGTCCTAGGAGGGAAGCTGTGAGGTGCCTGTAGAAGCTCAGTCATGAGGGGAGCAAGGTGATCCCTCCCAAGGGTGCCATCAAGATGTGGTTTCATATCCCTGTTCTGCTAGAAAACCAGTTTATAGGGATCTGGAGTGGAGAAATCCCCCTGAGTTCTCAGGTGGTGATGTGGCCTAGCTTCCTTTATCCAAATTCTCAGATGCAGATTTTGAAATAAACATTGATAGTGTCTCCTGCTCAGTTCCTAAACTGTATTAATTTGGATGGCTCAAGTGAGGCTGAGCTGGAGTTCACACCCCGAGCAGATGGGTTGTAAGGTGGCCTGGCTAAAAGAGTCGCTGCCCATCTGTGCTCTTCAGTAGCAGTATGGAGTGTAAATCACTTTGTATTGCAGCAGTCTGTGTCAGAAATTATCTTTAAAACGTGGTTCTTTTAATTTTTCAAAGGCTGCAGAGGGTCAGTGCTGGAAGAAATGAGGGCTTGGGGTTTGATCTGACCACTTCCATGCTGCAGGAAGGCGAGGAGGATCTCAGGAACAAAGGGGGGTTTCTCTCTTGGGCAAAGATGAATTAATTCTAGGCTGAGAGCACGTAAAATACTACAAGGATTAAGAGTCTGAGTTAATCACTGTATGAACTTTGCAGGGTACTACTGAAATAGAAATTCGGAAGAAACCTGGTGGGTCCCTCTTGGTCTCCATGGACCAGGTGAACGCGTCCTACGGGCGGAAGGATCGAACCAACAGCGTGATGACCGGCTTGACCAACACCCTTGTGGAGGGTGGGTATGGCTGGAGGGGTGCCCCTGGGGCTCCATTGCCCTCTCCTGCTGTGTGCTAGGAAGACAGAGCACCCCTCCACCTGGCAGCACTGGGAGAGCTCCTCAGCCTGCATCTGCCCTGGGTTCCTGGGCTGGGACTGTGCTGCCTGGCCCTCTGCCTGGCCAGAGGAGTGACCAGCCATGGAATGTGGCTACAGACACACCTGTCCACTTGGTTTGTCCAGGAGGATGCTGAGTGGTGATGTTAAACTTCATGAGATGGTTTCATAGTGGCTCAGGGGGTTAGAGTGATGGCTGGTGGGTGAGGGAGCAGAGTGAGGGCTCAGGGTGGGGAGCACAGGCTCAGGTCAGGCCTTGGCTCTTCAGGAGATCAGTTCTGAGCCTTGGGGACCTGCTGAAGAACACACTTGACCTTCAGGTCAACAGGATTTAGCTGCCCCTGCCTTCAAGCAGCATATATTCATGCATGGGTTTTGCCTAAAGCTGCTTCTTTTGAGTAATTATTGAGACAAAAGTATTTTGTTAGCCTTTATTTTCCTTGGGTTTGCATCTGAATTATATAGATACAGAGAATACAAGGAGTTGCAATTATACAAAAATGAATATACAGTGTGGAGATTTTAGGGGTAAGACAATGACACAGGTCTTCTGCCATCTCCTAAGGACTGGAGAGACCCTCCTGTGCTCACAGCCCACAGGAGAAAAAGATCTGAGCCACACCAAGAGCTGCAATGTGACAGCTGTCAAAGGAGAAAGGGACTTCTGGCTGTGGGGAGTTCTGAAGTGGACAGCACACAGAGATGAGATTTCCCAATCTGTTACACAGGGGCCAGCAAGAATTTATGAACAGCAGCCATATGAGGTGGTTGATCTCAAAGTCCTGCTGGCTCCTGCAATAAAATTGTATGAAAACTAAATATACTTAGAAACAGAGCAGGGTTCTGCTGCTGCCTCCCTCCTGCGCAAACACCTACGAGCTACAGTGCTACGGGCCTCTTTTTAACTTCAGAAATTCCAAGGCAACTAAATACTAAGCAACCAGAGAACCAATGAGGAAAGGAGTGCAGTGATCCTTCCCTACCCATAAAAAAATACCACTTCAGCACAAACAGCTGTATAGCCTGGATGGAACCATTGCAAATCAAACAACAGAGGTTTTGGGGGGTTTGGGGTCATTTTTTTTTATAAATCAATGTGAAAAAATGGATGCAGCATCAGGTTTGAGTTCTGTAAATGGATGTGCTTGGTGTTAATCAGGTTATTCCTGTGGCAAACGCTGTGCAGGATTATGTCATGGAGTTCCTCTTTTAGACTGTGTCTGCATTCAGCACAGGATTCATCTGAGTTATTTAAAAACTGCCACCAAAGACAGTGTAGAATCTGTAGCTTTGGTTTAAACTGCTTTACCTTGATCAGTTCTGGGTTAAAGATCTCTCCTCATTTAAAATAATGTGGATTGAATGGGAAGATCCATGTGGGGCTGTTGAGCAGGTTTAGAACCGTGGTTCCTGGTAACCCCCTGCAGATGTGGTGTGCTGTAGCTCCTGTGTAGGGACAAAGGAGAAGGCAGCAGAGCTTGGTACAAAGACTCTTCTGTCGTGTTGATCTGCATGATTGGCCGTGGTTGTGAGGTTCATGGCTTGGTCAGGCTGTCTCAAGCTACTGCTGAGCATCCTGGACTTCTTTTGGTTTGAGTTGTTGAGTGTCCATACAGCAAAAGGCATCTTTGGGGCAAGGATGTTGAGCTGTTGTGCAAGCAAGGGGACAGGACTCCATGACAGGGTCCATGACAGGCAAGATCAGACAGTTTTTTAGCTATGCTGAGCCTCAGACAGATCCAGCAGCCTTGGAAGCAAAGACTGAACTCTTGCTGTTGTGTTTTGTGACTGTAGAGCTGGAGGAGTCCCAGAGGAAGTGTCCCCCTTGCTGGTACAAATTTGCCAACACGTTCTTGATCTGGGAGTGCCACCCATACTGGATCAAGCTGAAGGAGATAGTGAACTTGATCGTCATGGATCCTTTTGTTGACTTGGCCATCACCATCTGCATTGTGCTGAACACCTTGTTCATGGCAATGGAGCACCATCCCATGACCCCAGAGTTTGAACACGTGCTCTCTGTGGGAAATCTGGTAAGTTGGTGTTGGTCAATATTCCTGACAGCTCTGCTCCTTCTGGGATATGGTCATTGTTATTGTAGGCTTGGACTGAAAGAGTAGCAGCTCTTCCAGGCTCTGGAGGACACTGAGCAGTGCAAGCTTGCCCTCACTGCAGCCCATGACAAGTCAGAGATGTTGGCTGAGGGGGCTGAGATCTCAGAATTCGTTACTACTTAAAAATTCATCTCTTAATTCCTGAGGTGCTTGAGAGGGTCAGTGAAATCTGTGCTGCATGGGTGGATAAAAGACTCAGAGAGAAGCACCTGGCATTGCACAGGCTGCACCTTTGGGTTGGCAGGACAAAAATTGATTTTTGTTGATGGTTATTTTCATTTGATGTTCAGCCTGAAGATGAGAAAATGAACAAGAGCAAATCTTTGCCTGTTCTTTGTCTCTCTCCTCACCACTCCAGGTCTTCACTGGGATTTTCACCGCAGAGATGTTCCTAAAGCTCATTGCCATGGATCCCTACTATTATTTCCAAGAAGGCTGGAACATCTTTGATGGATTTATTGTCTCCCTCAGTTTGATGGAGCTGAGTCTGGCAGATGTGGAAGGGCTTTCTGTGCTGCGATCTTTCCGATTGGTATTCCACATTCCACCTCTTTTGCATGATACTGTCTTGGAGCTACCAGAGAGCTTTTTACATAGGAAAAGGCAAAACCTACTGCTTTTTTTTTTCCTGGTTTGGGGGAGGGCAGAGATGGAGCAGTGTCGTGTTTGTGGTCTCCTCTTACTTCACAACCGCTATTGTGAGATTTGGGCAACAGCTCATTGGATTTAGGTAATGGGGGATGACTTGGGAGGTATCTTGGTGCAAAGTATTTCATGTAGATGGAGCTGGACCATGTTAGAATGCATCTCTTATGTCATGTGGTCAAATTTGGTAGGTTGTATGTTACAGTATGATGAAAGTGCTGAATACCTGCGGCCTTCATGTGCTTTAACCTGTGCTGCCAGTGGTTCAGCTTTTGAAAATCAAATTATGAAAACCTCAGGGTTAGATTTTTGGGTGTGGAGAACTACAGTTGAGGTCAGATTTTCCAAGGAACACAGCACTCAAAAGCTCCTGCTGATACCCAGCTTCAGAAAGTCTGTCTCCAGCTGAGATTCTCTGGAAATTAACCTTTGATTTTATGTTCTGGGTATGCTGGGAAAGCCAGTCCTCTTTTCCAGGGGAAGATGAGGAGCGTTCAGGAAAGGAAGAAAGAATTTTTTTCATGATACATGCCTTTCAAATAAGTTGCCTGATGTCCTTAATGTTGCAAAGTTCACAAATCAAAATGGAAGCTCCATGCTTGTCCTTGGTAAAGGGAGGTCACCGTGGGGTGGGGTAGCTAAGCACAGAATACATGAGGCCAAATTCAAAGAAAATTAAACATTCTCCCACTAACTTCAGCAGCAGAAGCCTGGGCTTATGTAAAATACAAAGTGGTTGCCACTTAGTTCTGCTTGCTTCTTCCTCTTGGTTTCAGATGCACTTCAATTAAATGCCATTTTTGTCTTTTGTTTGGTTTCTTTCTTTTTTGTTTTTTTTTGTAGCTGAGAGTCTTCAAACTGGCCAAGTCCTGGCCCACTCTGAACATGCTGATTAAAATCATCGGTAACTCAGTGGGTGCTTTGGGGAACTTGACCTTGGTGCTAGCCATCATTGTGTTCATCTTCGCTGTGGTGGGCATGCAGCTCTTCGGCAAAAGCTACAAGGAGTGTGTCTGCAAGATCAATTCGGAGTGTGAGCTGCCCCGCTGGCACATGCACGATTTCTTCCACTCCTTCCTTATTGTCTTCCGTGTGTTGTGTGGGGAATGGATTGAGACCATGTGGGATTGTATGGAAGTAGCAGGACAGGCCATGTGCTTGATTGTCTTCATGATGGTCATGGTCATCGGAAATTTAGTGGTCAGTAAATGGTTACTGATGGTCTTTGTTGGTTGCTTCTGGGTGGGGTAGAACGTGGGGGTCACAGGACAAGGGAGTGATGGTTTGTGAGTCTGTTCCAGCTCTGTTGGGTCCTCCATGGCCTTTGACACATCAACAGCCCTGTTGATTTTGGTAGCACAATACTATGGATGTGCTTTGCTTGACCAGGGCCTTAAAAATTTCTCCACAGATAAAGCATCCGACCACTTGGCCATAAAAGCTGAAAGTATGAAACCCTCAGTCAAAGGGGACAGACCCACACCTTGCCCGAGATAGTAAAAGAAGCAAAACCTGGCTTCTCAAATGCCAGGAGAGGAGATAATTTGGTCCACAGGGGAAGGTCCTGAAGTGTTAAAAATCAGGTTGGGAGTTTCTTCTAAAATCTGCCCACTAGCTCAATCATGAGGTTTGGTTGTGTGCAGGAGTCTGCTGGTGAAACTGCACGGCCTGCTGCGTGGGAGGTTAGGGTGGATCAAGATGTTTCCTTCTGGTCTTAAATTTTATGAAGAGAAGCCTATGGAGGAAAACGTGAGCAAGGATGAAGCAGTGTGAACAGCTGCATCTGTGAGCTCTCTGAGAGGACTTCCCTCACCATGGGAGTTTGACAAAATAAGCTTATTAACCCCTGGGGTGCCAGCACAGTTATGTGCTGCACGAGGCTCCCCTGTTGAGGATCAGAGTTTTGTTCCTTGGGTACCTCAGTAGACCTGTGGGACACCAGAGCTGCTTCTCACTGTGGTGTTTGAAGGTTTAGCTCTGCAAGCCCCTTGTTGACATCAGCTGGACTTGGGTGGCTGAGCACTCACTGGGGAACAGGGCCCTTGTGTGCCAGCTCTGCCAAGAGTGTCTTCTTCTCTTTCAGGTGCTGAACCTGTTCTTAGCCTTGCTGCTGAGCTCCTTCAGCGCAGACAACTTGGCAGCAACAGATGATGATGGGGAGATGAACAACCTGCAGATCTCCGTCATCCGCATCAAGAAGGGCATTGCCTGGACCAAGGCCAAAGTGCGTGAGTTCATGCAGACCCACTTCAAGCAGAGGGAGGCAGATGAGGTCAAACCCTTGGATGAACTGTATGACAAGAAGGTGAACTGCATCGCCAACCACACGGGGGCTGATATCAACAGGGACATTGACTATCAGAAGAACGGCAACGGCACGACGAGCGGCATCGGGAGCAGCGTGGAGAAGTACATCATCGATGAAGACCACATGTCCTTCATCAACAACCCCAACCTCACTGTCCGGGTGCCTATTGCCGTGGGGGAGTCGGATTTTGAAAACCTCAACACAGAAGATTTCAGCAGCGATACGGATCCTGATGGCAGCAAAGAGGTAGGGTGGAGTTCTGAAAGTTCCTTCTAGTCGTTCGACCCTCGTGTGGGTGCCCGGAGGCAGAACGAGATAGTTCCAGCACAAAACTTCTGCTGGCATTGTAATGTTGTCTTTGGACTCCAGAAAGAGTCCATCCACTGACTCACATAGTCATTGAACTGTGGAACAAATCCCATATAATGACACAAGTTTCTTGTGCTAGTTGCTCTATGAAGAGCCACCAATAGTTGTAAATATATCTGTGTAAATTCTCAGTACTACCTGTCCTGTGGACATGAGCTGTAAGCTGGGTTGGGATCTTAGGAAACAACTTTTGTTATAGTAAATTTAGTGAACTAATTGCTGAGTCATCTTGAAGTTTGATATTGGGAATGAATTATAGATTGGATTGGGTTTTATTTTGTGTTCAAGAAACTTGATGATACCAGCTCCTCTGAAGGTAGCACCATTGATATAAAGCCTGAAGTGGAAGAAGTCCCCGTGGAGGCACCAGAGGAATATTTGGACCCAGATGCATGCTTCACAGAAGGTAAGCTCACTGTGAGTGGAGAGAGAATCCTCTGAGCTGCTTTGGGGACCTGTCTGCTGTAATCTTAGCTTAAGGTTAGGTCTTGATCTGGATCAGGGCTGGTTGTCAGCTTATTGTGAGACCCTTTTTAGACCCTGCATCATGGGCAAACTAGTTCAGAATAATTTGCAAAGTGAAGGCTGCAGAGGTGTACTTGCCATCACAAGGATGTAGATGACCTACAGGTAGGGCAGGTTGATCTTTGGTACAATTGATGCCTTGAGTATTTAGAAGCAGAAGAATTTAACTTCTGGTCGAGTTTTTTTTTTTTCCCCTTTGGTCACTGGCCTCAATGTCTTTCAGGAACTGATCCATTACAGGTATTCCCATGGCAAAGAGATTTAAAATGGGTCAAGGTTATTGTATCAGCAAGTTTTCCATTGCTCTTCTGTCAAGTGCATGGATATCTCAGCAAATGTCACGAGCTTAATCTGTTCACAAATTGATGTTAATTCAGGTTCCCAGATACAGAAGTGGTGAAAGTAATCATAAAATCCTCAAGACCACAAGAGTTTTAACTGAAACTCAACGTATTTAGTACTGTTGGCATCAAAACTGCTTCTAGAGAATTAAGATTTTATGTTCTTGTGTTAAATCTTCTGTTACCTAACAGAATTTGGGCTCATGCTCCTTTGTGCACTGTCCCCATTCCAGGTTGCGTGCAGCGCTGTAAATGTTGTCAGGTCAATATTGAGGAAGGGCTGGGGAAGTCTTGGTGGACCTTGAGGAAGACTTGTTTTCTGATTGTGGAGCATAATTGGTTTGAGACTTTCATCATCTTTATGATCCTACTGAGCAGTGGTGCCCTGGTGAGTGAAATTCAGGAGTCTGCGTCGCCCGGCGGCGTTGAGCTGGGGGACAGCTAGTTGGGAAAGCTGTGTTTAGGAAATGTGGTGGGAAGGCAAGCTGTGATGATTGTTGCCTGGAAAACAACACACCTCTGTCGTGGTAGGTCCTGTACAAAAGCCTTTATTAGACCTTTGTTGAGTCTCAATAATTGAGAGCTGGGCTCTGATCACAGCTTGACTAGGAACGTGAGGATCTGGGACAAAGTCAGCCTGTATCTGTGCCTCATTTTCACCTTCCCAAGCATGAATAGTTATATTTCCCTTTTGTCCCTGCTTGCAGAGCTTCTTGAGCCCCTGGTATTACAGAGCTACAAATAATCACTAGGTTTGGTTGTTTTCACACAGGACACCATTTAGTAGATGGTGTCATACAACAAACTACTTCAGGCCCACGTTACTCGTGAGTTTTGGGACCAAAGTCGTAGAATCACAGAATCCTGTGAATCAGAGTCCACATCTCATACCCCACAGCAGGAACCTGTTGGGTTTCTTTACATTTCATTTTTTACTTTCATAGTAATGAACAGTCTGATTGTTGATGGATTCGGCCCTTCTGGATGTGCCTTAAAAAGGAGAAATTTAGTAGATGGTGTCATACAACAAACTACTTCAGGCCCACGTTACTCGTGAGTTTTGGGACCAAAGTCGTAGAATCACAGAATCCTGAGAATCAGAGTCCACATCTCATACCCCACAGCAGGAACCTGTTGGGTTTCTTTACATTTCATTTTTTACTTTCATAGTAATGAACAGTCTGATTGCTGATGGACTCGGCCTTAAAAAGAAGGAGAAATTTTTGTGTTACTTATTCAAGGCCTTTTTTTGGGGGTTATTTTTTGGTTGGACGTTGCAGTGTTGCGATTACTAGAACAGAGTCTGTCAGAAATGTAATTCCACTGCTCATCTCAGCATTGTCTGAATAAGCTTCTGGATAACAACATTGAACTATGGAAAAAATCCTATATAATGACCCAGGTACCTGGTTGTTTCCTAGGCTTTTGAGGATATTTACATAGAACAGAGGAAAACCATCCGGACCATCCTGGAGTATGCAGACAAGGTCTTCACTTACATTTTCATCCTGGAGATGCTGCTGAAGTGGTGTGCTTATGGATTTGTCAAGTTCTTCACCAATGCCTGGTGCTGGCTGGATTTCCTCATTGTGGCTGTATGTATCCTCTCCTCCTTCCTTCTGCTTGGCAAAAAATGTTACTTAGAGGAATGCTGGGGTCATGTTTTCTCCTGAGGAGTGTCCTGACTGAATCATACAGTTAATGAGGATTCAATCCCAGATACCTGTAAGTTTGCAAAGCAAGGATAGAACCCTCCAGCCCTTGGAGTAATGCCAGTGTTTCCTGTGGAATTCCTGCCTGGCAGGTCCTAATGAGCCTGCAGAGATAAAGGAGGTTTTTCCAGCCCTTTGCTCTGCTGGAAATACTGTTTCTAAGAGGCCTGTCCACATGTTGAGCTACTGGAAGGTGTTAGCAGTGGGAGGACTTGTGCAGATGTGGTGTCCCTTGATGACATCCTCTTTCTGTAATCATTTACTTGTGTTTTTAACGACAAGGGGATGATGCAACAGGCAAAATCTTCCCATCCTGTCACCTAACGAGGTCTGCTGCACTGGGTGCATGTATTTAGGAGAGTCTGAGGGCTTGGAAAGCTTATTATGCAAAATGCAATTCAACATCCTCATTCTTCTCTTTAAAAAGATCTCACAGCCAGGAGAGGAAGAGCAGAATGGTATCAAATAAGGGATTGTAGCCTGAACAGGGGGAGGGGTGATCTGGGCAGATCAGCACATGATTGCCCTGGGATTCCCCTTCAGAACATCTTGGTAGGGAGGAAAAATTTAAGAATTCAAAGAAAAACAATAGAGAGAAGTGTTAGTAACAAATCTGGCTCTGAAGCACGACAAGGGCATTTAAAATAAATGGAATTTGTGCTGTCAGAAATAGCAGAAAATTGTGGAAGTCAACAGGACTTGTGAAGTCCAAAGAATTGCAAAAAATGGAACCATAGAGTCCCAAGTGCTTGGATTGTTTTAAAATGTTCCATCACATCCAGTTGTGAATCAGTGTCCTTACTGAATGTCCCAAGAGCAAATACTTAAAAATAATTTAATTTTTTTCCAAGCTTCTTATTTGGAACATTAAGAATATGATTCAGCTATGCCAAGTTGCTGTTTTGGTGACATTATCACTCTGGAAATATTTCAGAGTAGGTGGAGGAACTATGCTTGGAATTCAGGGGCAGAAGTGACTCAAGATGTCTACGTTTCCTGTGGAGAACTGAATTTTGCCCCTTTTTTTTTTCTTTTTTAAAGTTTTCTCTGATCCCCTTAGTCCCTTTTCTTTTACCACACATCCTGAAGTAGTAATTCTCCTGAAAATAACTCGGTATCTCTTTCACTGCCTTAAGATGAAGTACAGGTGCTAAAATGGGAGTTAACACAAGCTGCCATCCCCTCTTCTGTACCACTTTGAGGGGAGTGTTTCAGCAAATTAAACTCTTTGGGGCATTGAATTAAAAAGATGACCAGCAGCTCAGCACAAAAATAGCACCCGCAGCCCTTCTGCTTCATGTTGAGTCAAATTCCAGCTGTTGGGAACAAAGTGCAGTTGAATTGACAGATGTGTTACAAGTTTCATTTTCTTCCCAAGTATCTGGCTGCTAAGGGAGTAAAAATAAGGAACTTTGCAGCCAGGTAACACATTTACAGGGAGAGAACATGTGCTTGTGTAGAAGGATCCTGAACTCCCAGTGCTGTAGGAGAAATTCCTCTTTCCACTTGGTGTCCTAGACAGGAGAGTGGCACATTTCTGCCTGCAAAAAAATGCAGAATGTGAATTTGAGATGCAAATCTATTGCTGGACAAAAATCTCAGCTACGCATCGTGTCCTGTATCTGTTAAATCGTGGGGTTTTTAAATCAAGTTTTCTGGTGTGATGTGGATGGGGTTTGACTGAAGCCAGCCTGGCAGCCGTAACGAATAGAGAATAACCCTTTGCCTCATAACAACGCTCTTGAATGTTATTTTTCAGGTTTGATAGCATTGTCAAATAACCCTCCTCCTCTGATTCCCAAAGCTTGCTGGGTGTATTTGTGAAGACAAAGTCTTTTTCTGGGTAATAATGAAGGCTTCTGCTTTTCAGTCAATCTGGAATTCCTTTTGTCTGCCATCGGTGCCTGCTGTGTCTTCTGTCGGAGTGTCCCGAGAGAATAATACTGAAAAGACCCCATGAAAGCTGAACCAGCCTTTAGTCACTTCCCTGCCATTGAGTTAGCTCCCTGCTCGGGAGCAAGGTGTTATCCCAGGGGAAGAGGCTCTAAAAGCATGGATTCAGTGAAGCCTCCACCCTGTAGAATATTTACAGGGCAGAACGCTGGATTTCGCTGTTTATGGACCTTTAGAGGTGTTGCCGTGGGCTTGGTCCCACCCTGAGCAGGCTGATCACAGAGGCTTGGCTGTCAACTTTTGGGACACCTCTGGCATGTTTTTAATCAGTGTCATTTTAAAATCAGAAAACTACATGGAAAAACCAGAGAACCATGTGGCCAAAGGTGGTGGCCACTCATTTGGGGGCAGATACAAAGACAGAAGAAGCGTGAGGCTTATGCACAAAGAGTAAAATCAGACTAAATTTCTCTGTTTTCCCACATGTTCATGCATTTGAAATTTCTGGTCGTGAAGTTTCTGTGGAATATGTGTGGATTGAGAATCGTTCTATAATTAATTTCACATTATTATCTTAATACTTTTTCTTTTTAAAGAGTGGTAAAGAGGAAATGTCCTATGCTGAGAATTAAGCTAGAAACCCACCTATTGTAGGAGGAGGTCTCATGTTTTTCCATAATTTGTTACTCTATATTGCTGTCTTTTTTTTCCTTAAAAAAGGTTGACATATCTGTTCTTATCTGTGTCTGTAATGTGATAGGAGCCAAAACTGGAGGATAGTGAGGTGCTGATGACATGGGGTCTGTAGATGCTCTTTACCTACAGCCAAGTCATGTCTGATCTAATCTAAAGAGTTTTCTAAAGAGCTGGCTCATGTGGGGAATGGACTTGCCAACCCAAACCCACGTGCCAGGTCAAAGAATTGATGGCCCCACACGTTCAGGCTTCATCCTGCAGGACCCTGAGCTGCCCTCAGTGCTGCTTGGGGGAGGATGCTCAATCACTCACAAGTGTAGAGCCTAAATCTGAAGAAAAAAAGGTGGTCTTTGTGGTTACGGTGTTGAAAACCAGATGTCAGAACACTGTCCCCACATGCCAGCAGCCCTGTGATCACTGTGCCCCTCAGCTTGCCTATGGTGGCTCTACCCATCCTCATCCTCCCCCAGAGATGCTCACAAGCATCACCACGAATTAAAGCAAGCAAAAACCCAAAAAGCCCACGGCAGTAGCTCAGTGGAAGAGGCAGAACCAGGACACGTGGGGCTCAGCTGCCTCAGCACCGTGTGCATGGGGTCGGAGCTCCCATTTTCCAGAGCTCTTTTGGCAGAAGCCACGTGGGCCAGGCACACGCCCAGCCCCGAGGAGCAGGCACTCGGCGTGAGCGCGGTGGCTTGTGTACAGCTTGAGTGCAGCTCGTGCAGTGTGTGTATTTATCTGTATTCTTTCTCATAGGTACCTTTAACATTTGTCTGGCTTAAGTTTAATGGGAGCCGCTGGGATCCTGCAGACAGTAAAGGGCGAGGGTAAGGTTTTTGTCATCGTTTGGGCTCTTCCTTCCGACAGACCCCCTTCTCCGTCTGTGTGTCTCTGCCTTTCTCTCACTCTTTTTCCCCCTATGTTCTTTTCTTATGCCTTTCTCAACCGCATTATTTCCTTCCAGGTCGTTTCAGTCAAGTGAAGTAGGCAGCTGGTGTCATGTCTTCGGTATTTATTCTGGGGGCCGCCCGGGCTGGCAGCCTGGGCTGGGCGAGCAGTGCTAGGGGATCCATTCTAACAGTCTGGAACCTTTTTTTTCTTTCTTTTTTTTTTTTTTTTCTTTCTTTCTTTGTTTTCTTTTCTTTTTTTCTTTTTTTTTTTCTATTTCCTGTGTAGGTCTCTTTAGTCAGCCTTATAGCTAATGCCCTGGGCTACTCGGAACTAGGTGCCATAAAGTCCCTTAGGACACTAAGAGCTTTGAGGCCTTTAAGAGCGTTGTCCCGATTTGAGGGGATGAGGGTAAGATGCCATTAGCAGCTGATCCTTCTGCATGCCTGTGGAGCGGTTTTTTTTAAGCATGCTAGAACTGATCAAAAACTGGTGGAAAGAAAAATTCCAAACAGACTCATGATGCAGCTGCTGACTCGATCACCTCCACCGTGGATGTCCCCTCACCCTGCCCACCGCTGCACCCTCCCCTCTTAAGAAAGGGAGATGCATTAAGCTGCCTCATTACATTAATTACTGGCCCAAACCACATGCCATTTGTAGACGATGTTAACACTTGGCTGTTCTCATTTAGCCTGGCTTTGACCTCTAGCATCCGAGGGGGCTTCTCAGCTGTAACTTCTTTTATCTAGGGAGAATCACCAGGTGCAAAGAAGCAGAATTTGAACCACCTCAGTGTCTCCAGCCCCTCTAGGTGTTGGCCGCTGGTGGAATTGGATTGACAGGCAATATCTGAGGGGTTTTTACAAAAGCAGTCTGCCTGCACAGGGGGGTGAAAGGCAGCTTCCTCTCTCGGATCACTCAGGCCTTCAGGAAGGGACTGGCGGGGAGCTCAGCTGCTTGCAAAAAAGGCTTTGGTTTAATTCCTCTTGTTGCACCTTGTTGTTCTCGGTCCAGTCTGGTGGCGACTGGAAGCCTTGTCTGATAGTGAAGCTTTTCCTTTCCACTCCCTCCCTTTTCCCCTGCTTTACAGTCCCCTGTCCTGTCACTGTGGAACGAGCAACGAAGCACAAGCAAAGCATTGAACTTAACAAGCTTCCCTCAAATTGTCAGAGAGCACCAGTGTCTTGGGGATTTGAAATTGCCTCAGTGCCTCACTACTTGGCCGCTAATATTGGTGCTTTCTTCCCCATTTGGGATTTAAAAAGTTAGAAGAATGTGCAAAAGAATTGCACATTTCTGTTAGGTAAAGTGTCTGTTGTATTAATGGGTTTCCCAGTTGCTCTGAGAGGTCCTTGTGCTAAATCCCCATTAGCTCCCAGTTAGAGATATTGCAAGAGATGAAGTATTTTTTTAAAAAGGGAAGGGAATGGCAGTCACAGTTTTACCTCAGGCTCTGACCAGAGCAATTCCACCTGGATCTTTCTGATCTCCTTTGAATTTGCTGTAGTGTGACTGAGCCCAACATCCAGCACGAGAGGCAGTGAGCTGATCAGGAACCCTCCGATTCCATAGCAAGTGAGAGAAATAAATGATCACATCCACAGAGGGTTGATCCCTCCCTGCTATGTCACCCTGCTGCTCTTTCTTTGTGTCAGTCAGCTTAACTCTCAGCTTTATAATACAGGCACAAAGGATGAAAACTTTTTCCATCAACACAGAGCCAGAGCTTTTGCTGGGCTGCGTTCGGGTCCCACCTGAGATCTGTGATCACAAAACAAAAGACTTAGTACTGGACCTATAGATACTAAAATCTATTTTTAAGCCAGGCTGGAGAGAAGCTGTGATTTCTAACGCAGCCAAGAAATTCTCAGGCTTAAAGTAGAGGATTTTCACCACAGCAAAACTGATAATAAACTTCTGACTGCAGCCCTCTTAGTTCCCTAAACCCAAATATTTTCCCTTCGGTTTGACTTGAAGACAAGCGTTGCTGCCCCATACAATTCTTCCCAGATTTGAAAAGCCTTTTGGAAAGGAAAGGGAAAATTTAGTTCTTTGCTTTTCTCTACTCCATAGTAAATCTGCATTTTCAAGAGCTTGCTCTGCTCTTCAATTATTCAGGGAGTTTGACAGTGGTGCTATGAAACGTGCATGCGTTCTTGTCAGTCTGCACACAAAAGCCATGTTCCTTCTCTCAGATCTTCTTCAGTGCTCTATAAATTCAACGTGCTCTGAGTGACCACATTTGAGGAGGGTATGACACAGTTTTCACTCCCATTGATGAACTGGAATAACCCAGTGTGTTGGTAATCTGGAGGATCTTTAACCAAACACTGTCCTGCTGTTGTGTTGGCAACAGAGCTCCTGTTTGGGTGAAGGGAGAACCAAAGCAAGGCCTCTCTGGAGGAGCCTTTAGACCTCCCTGGGTGTACAGTGATGGATTCATGATGTGATTTAAGATCATGCTACTTGCTGTCCAGATGACTGTTGTCTTCAAGTTTCCTTCATGCTGGGACAGAGGACAAGTGCTTGCTGCAGAGCTTGGCTTGCGTGTGGTGGTTGCATCCAACCAACAGCTGTTGGAGGTGGAGAAGGGGACACTTGGTGGTGGCCAAGACCAGTTGTGGCTCAGGTGCTGCTACCTGAGGGACTCCCAAAATCCCCCTGTGATTGGGTAGTCCTTCAAAACTAAGGCAAAGTGGTAAAAACAGTTTAGATTCTGTCCCTCTATTAAAGAAATCTAAATTAGGAGATCGTAATAAAAGATTTAATATCCTGCTGACCTAACTCTATTAAAAACCCAATCGCTTACATTTTATCATGTGTTGGCCAGGGATGCTGAGGGACACGGTGCTCCCAAACTACGAAGAGCTAAAATTAGGAGGCAGTGGAAGATAGGAGCTCTGCCAAACCCTGGTACCGCTTCCCCCCCGTGTTTGCTGCAGTTTGGAGGAAGGAACATGGCTTTTCTGTCTTCTTGAGCCTGCCTAGCTGCATGCTCAGCTGTCTGCCTGAGACAACATGACTGGCCTTGCTTAGTCACAACTATGATCTTGATGTTTACAGCGACTCACTGCTTAGTCTTACCAGAGCAACGCCGGGCTTGGTCCTGCCCCCACTGGAGTCGGTGCCACACGGGTTGCTGGTGACCTCGGTGGGAGCAGGAGCCGGGCTCCGAAGTGATAACAGCCTTGTTTGAAAGTGGGGAATGGCCGTAAGGGCCACTGGCTGACAAGACCCATCAAATCCACCAGCAAAAGTGCCCTCCAACTCGGCTCTGAAAAAAATTCTAGCTAGGAGCCTGCTTGGTTCTGAGAAGAGAGTCTGAGCCTCACTCAGTAACACCCCCCTCTCCCTTTTGGCAACTAAAATGATTTTGAAGAATTGCTTTAACTTAAGAAGTAACAATCCAAAACGAAACCCAGTGAATCCAACAACCTGGCCTGTTTTCTGTGAAAAACAGAGCTTCAGTAGGTGGCTTTGAAGCAGGACTTTCATATATCGCTTGGAATAAGTTCACTGCCAACCTCTGGGTGGAGAGAATGCCACGGATCTGTCAGTGGCCTTACCTCCTATTCCCCCCCCAAAAACAGCTGTAGTGATGCTTGCTGGTTCCTGCCTTGTGTTTTATACTGAAACTTTTTCCCACCCCTTCCAACACAGGTGGTTGTCAACGCCTTGGTTGGCGCTATCCCTTCCATTATGAATGTGTTGTTGGTCTGCCTTATCTTCTGGCTGATTTTCAGCATTATGGGGGTTAACCTGTTTGCCGGGAAATATCATTACTGCTTTAATGAAACCTCCGAGGAGCGCTTTGACATAGATGTTGTTAACAACAAGACAGACTGCGAGGCGCTGATGCCGCCCAACTCCACCGAGATCCGATGGAAGAACGTGAAAATTAACTTTGACAACGTTGGAGCAGGATATCTGGCACTTCTGCAAGTTGTGAGTTTGTCCTTCGTCGTCTGCCTGCTAGCAGTAGATGCAGACTGCTTCTAATGGGTTCTGACTCCTTCCCCCTCTCCAGGAAATGCTGTGTCCTGTAAATCCCGCTCGGGTTAGGGATAAAATTGCCATTTTCTCTTTCATCCCTTTGCCTCACGTGGGTCTCCCAGCAAAGCAAGCTGCCCCAGCTCTACTCTTCAGAGTCTCCCAAAAGTCAACATGTTTAGATTCATTTATCACACACTGATTTGGGTGGGAAGGGACCTTTAAAGATCCTCTCGTCCAACCCCCCTGCAGGGAGCAGGGACAGCCCCAACCAGAGCAGGGTGCTCAGAGCTCCATCCAACCTCCCCTGGGGTGGTCCCAAGGATGGGGCAGCGACCACCTCTCTGGGTGACCTGTGCTAAGGGCTCACCACCCTTAGTGTCAAAAATGTCTTCCTTCTCTCCAGTCTAAATCTCCCTCTTTTAGTTTCAAACCATCCCCCTTGTCCTGTCCCAACAGGCCCTGCTAAAATGTTCATCCCCAGCTTTCTTATGGGCCCCCTTTAGCTTAAATAAAAAGAGAAATATTTAAGAAAAGTTGAAGTTCAGTGTGCAGGGTGATGAAGAGTGCTAAGGAACCCTCCACACAGCCAGCACAAGTCAGACCTGTTCTTTGACTTTGGGTGAACTCTGGCTTAAAAGAACGTGTGTTTTCTTTGCTAGGCTACTTTCAAGGGCTGGATGGACATCATGTATGCAGCAGTAGATTCCAGAAAGGTAACGTGCACGAGCACAGACTCACCTCCTGGTATTTCATTCTGCTATTTTACTTACAGTGAAATCAAGAGTAAAAGTTGTAGAATCATGTTTATGTTGGGGATTTGTTGCTGTGATTGCTTTAATGGCTTTGTTAGTGTTAGGGGTTAAAAGGTGCTCAAAAAAATCCTGAAAAGGGCAGGGTCTTTCTGGGGACAGGGGATCTTTCAGTGGCAGGGGAGCTGCTGGAGTGGAAATGCAGTGTATTTATGCATTTCATCAGAATAAATTGTGGGGAGGAGTTAGCCAGAAGGTCCTGCAGGAACCTTGCACCTACATGGGACCCCAAGTGCCAGTTTGAATCCAGTTTTGAAGTGGTGTCTGTGTTGGAGCCATTTCTCCATGCATGCTGGAATCATGCCAGTGTCATTACTTCTGATTTGCTGTCTAATTTTTTTTCCTTCTCTTGAGTTGGTTTGATAGGAAAAAAAAAAAAATTTAAATGGATTTTTGTCCTATGCTGAATGCAGGGTTGGAAGCAAGTCATTTGACTGGGTCAGGACAGCATAAAAAATGTTCTCCTCTCTTTGACTAGCTGATGTTCTCACACAGCCCTCTTCAAATGGAAGAGTGATGTCTCCACTTTGACAGTGCCTATCACTAAAATGATCCTTTCCTTTGTGATATGCAAATTACTCTGTATTTTGTGGGCACTGACCTCATTTGTGGTGAAAGTCAGTTGAAAATGTAGCATATTTCTGAAAATTGGATCACCATCCTCGTGGTGTATATGTACCACAGACATCTACTGTTCCTTCACTTTAAACAGTGTGGGGATGGTTTTCCATAGACAGCAACAGCTTTCTAAAGCATTACTTGGGAATACCTGGATCCAAGACCAGTCTCGTTCAAACTGTATTTGTAGGATGTCTCTGAAATGCCATTTACTTCTCTTTTCATCTCCCATTCAGCAAGAAGAGCAACCCAAGTATGAGGACAACATTTACATGTACATATATTTTGTTATCTTCATTATCTTCGGCTCCTTTTTCACCCTGAATTTGTTCATTGGTGTCATCATTGACAACTTCAATCAACAAAAGAAAAAGATAAGTCATCTGTGCTTGCTGATTAGTAGGGGAGCTGAGACCTGTGTTGAGTCTTCAGGCTGGTGGGGTTTTCTCCAAAATAAAGGTCAAGGACCTTCAGTGTCCTTGTCAGAGTGCAGAGCCACGGTGGCTCTTGGTGCAGCACTCCCTACCCAGCTCACTCAGACTGGCTGAGCAGGACTCAGGGGGTACAAGAAGCAGCCCAAAGCTTTATGCAAAGCTCTAACCAGAGTAGACATTTTCCCTAGGCTATCTTTTTGTACTTTTCTAGGGTTTTTTGCCTTGACTAAAACATACAGGCTGGGAGGAAGATGTTCTCCTTGCCTCTCCCTCTGGCTCTCTCTGCTTTTCCTCTCTGTAAGTCGAGCTGAGGCTTTGCCCATGTGCAGAACCTGCTGAGCATCCTGCCACCAGTGCTCCCTGTGTGGCAGAGGGGCCAGGGAAGGACAGAGTGTGATAAAACAGGTTATTCACAGGCAAAATACTTGGCTTTCTGTAAAGGAAAATCTGTACACCTCAGGTATTAGTAGAAGTTATTTCTGTCTGAAATAGCTGCCACCAACTTCCCATATGGCAGGTGTCCTCCTGACTTGGCTGGGATGTTATTCCTTCCCCTGCTGGTGGATGAGCTGATTGTAACCAGTTTTCCTTTTGCCCCTTTACTTTGGAGGTCAAGATATTTTCATGACAGAAGAACAAAAGAAGTACTACAATGCCATGAAAAAGCTGGGTTCAAAGAAGCCTCAAAAACCTATTCCCCGACCTCTGGTGAGTATGTTATAAAGGGAACCAAAGGAAAAAACCTGCAGAGTAAATTTTCAAAGGAGCTTTGACTCCAAAAGCATCCTTTGTTCTAACACATGCTTAGATTCCACATCACCATGTTCTTGTCATTATCATTCAGGTACCATCTGAGAAAGGTTAGAATGATGTTAATCAGTTGGCTCACTTGAATCACCAGAACCATCTGAAATGCCCTGTCTGGCTGAGAGGCTCCACGTGGAGGGTAGGAGGCCTCCTGGCATTAGTGAGCGGGGTCTTGGACAATAAGAAAGCCTCGTGGGTTGCATTGATCAAGACCTAAGCTCATTTCCTGGCTTTTTGAAAGGCTTTGCTTGTGGTACTGGACAGGTACTTAGATACTGCTGAGGAGAAGGCATCCTGCTGCTGGAACTAGACTGCTGCCAGGGCACAAAAGAGTTGAAATCTGGCTCAAAGACCCTGTGATCCGTCGCTGCTGCGAGGTGGAGCTGGCTGCTCTCTCCAGTTATGGCTGGGCAGGCATCACTCTGCCCTGATGTCAACAAAGGGAGATATGCAGGAAGACACAGGTCATGGTAGCAGGTTTGGGGTATGAACAACAGCATTTTCCTCCCTTCCCCATAAACAGGCTGAATTGTGGCTGGAGTTTGCTGTGAAAGCTTCATAAGATGTTGAAAAAACTGCGTCCTCATCCCTGTCTCCACCAACAGTGAAATAATTTGTTGACTTGGGTAGAGTTTTGTTCATGCTGGTTTGGCTCATGGTCTCTCTCCTGTCGTGCAGAACCGAATTCAAGGAGCTGTCTTTGACTTTGTCACTCAGCAAGCATTCGACATAGTCATCATGATGCTCATTTGCCTCAACATGGTCACCATGATGGTGGAGACAGACACACAAAGCAAGCAGATGGAGGACATCCTTTACTGGATCAACCTGGTGTTTGTCATCTTCTTCACGTGTGAGTGTGTGCTGAAGATGTTCGCCTTGCGGCACTATTATTTCACCATCGGGTGGAACATTTTTGACTTCGTGGTTGTGATTCTGTCCATCGTGGGTAAGTGCTGGATAAGAGCTCTGTGAGTGCTGGGCTGTCGTGGTGTTGGCCGAGTAGAGCACGTTCTTGTCTTTGAAGGGGATCTGGAGGTACCAGGACTTCCTAGGTTCTCTTTTTAGCCTTTGTCAAGTGACCGTGGCAGAATTTGGCAGCTTGAAGTTCTGACTAATGCACCCTCCTCCCCTCATCAGAATGCTTTAATGCTTACTAACCACTGAAAATAGCATTGCAGTGCTTCCTACGTTGGCATGTGATTTGCCCCCTTGTTTTCAGTTGGTTGAATGTTGAATCAACCAGTTTCCTCCAACAGGTTTTCGGGGTTTTTAGCACCTGACCTCTAAAATACTCCTAATCTCACAAATACCATGGGGTCACTTGGAAAGCCTGGCTGGATGCAGCTCTGCCCAGGCCTACTGACAAAACACCAACCTTTAGGGACTGTCCTACAGCATAAAACCCAGATCTGGGTTCTTCTGCTGTTAGAAATAAGATCTATCTTAACCTATTTTTTAGCACCTTCAAAATAGAGTCCCTAGCCCAACTCCAGAGTTAGGCACCAAGAGCAAGACACCTCCAGGAAACAACTCATCCCTCCTTATCCAGGTGGAACAACTCACTCTGCAGCAGTACCTCTCTCCATTTAGGAGAACTCCTTAGGGAGCCAGAGCATCTAGCTAAAGCTTTAGCCACCCAAGAGGTGAGGCCTCCTGGTCACAGACCCCCTTTGCCGGTCCGACCGAAGCGTTCTGCGCGCCCAGTCCCTCGACTAGGTTCGGAAGCAGCAGCACGTCTCCATTGTCACACTTTGTCCTTTTCTCTTCCTCTTTAGGAATGTTCCTGGCTGAAATCATTGAGAAGTATTTCGTGTCACCCACTCTCTTCCGAGTCATCCGCCTGGCTCGCATCGGCCGCATCCTGCGGCTGATCAAAGGAGCCAAAGGCATCCGCACGCTGCTTTTTGCCTTAATGATGTCCTTGCCTGCCTTGTTCAACATCGGCCTCCTGCTCTTCTTGGTCATGTTCATCTTCTCCATCTTTGGCATGTCCAACTTCGCCTACGTCAAGCACGAGGCTGGCATTGATGACATGTTCAACTTCGAGACCTTTGGCAACAGCATGATCTGCTTGTTCCAGATCACCACGTCGGCCGGGTGGGACGGTCTCCTGCTGCCCATCCTGAACCGCCCTCCGGACTGCGACCTCGACAAGGAGCACCCCGGGAGTGGCTTTAAGGGGGATTGTGGGAACCCTTCGGTGGGGATATTTTTCTTTGTGAGTTACATCATCATCTCCTTCCTGATCGTGGTCAACATGTACATTGCCATCATCCTGGAGAACTTCAGCGTGGCGACAGAGGAGAGCGCGGATCCGCTGAGCGAGGACGACTTCGAGACCTTCTATGAGATCTGGGAGAAGTTTGACCCTGATGCCACCCAGTTCATCGAGTACAGCAAGCTCGCAGACTTTGCTGATGCTTTGGAGCACCCTCTCCGCGTCCCAAAACCCAACACCATCGAACTCATCGCCATGGACCTCCCTATGGTAAGTGGAGACAGGATCCACTGTTTAGACATCCTCTTTGCCTTCACCAAACGTGTCCTGGGGGACAGTGGCGAGCTGGACATCCTGAGACAACAGATGGAGGAAAGATTCGTGGCATCCAACCCTTCCAAAGTGTCTTACGAGCCAATCACCACGACGCTGCGGCGGAAGCAGGAGGAGGTTTCCGCGGTGGTCATCCAGAGGGCTTACAGGGCTCGTTTAGCCAGAAGGGGCTTTATCAGCCGAAGGCCTCTCTCCACAAAACTGGAAAACGGGGGAACCAACAGGGAGAAAAAAGAAGGCACCCCCTCGACGGCCTCCCTCCCGTCCTACGACAGCGTCACCAAACCCGAGAAGGAGAAGCAGCAACGGGCCGAGGAGGGGAGGCGAGAAAAAGCCAAAAGACCAAAAGACGTCAGGGAATCCAAGTGTTGAGACAAAAAGGGTAGAATTGTACAAATTTAAATTATTTGCAAGCGAAAAAAAAGATTGTTTACAGACTTCCTATATCAATACAGAACAGCTGTGGAGACACTTACCTGAAGATCTTATACCAAACATAGTCTGCTTACTGTGTGACAGCGTTGCATCTAAAAGCAGTGACCTACCACCTGTCTAAAGGACCCTCATAAACAAACATTTAAACACACACGTAGAAAAAAAACAAAAAGAAAAAAAAAAAAAAAGGAAAAAAAATGGATTTTTCTATTGTTTGGGCAGGTGGATACTGCATGTTCCACATCAGTCAATGCAACTTAGGACAAACAAGCGAAATAAAACACACACACACACACACACACAGAGAGAAAAACAAAACCCGCTGCTGGGATTCATGTATTTTCCAAAGCAGCCAAAAAAAAGGATTTTATTTTCCCATTTTTGTTGATTATTATTGGAAGAAAACCCAGAGGTCACGATGTCAAAGGGTTTGTTCATGCAAAACTAGATATTTTCCAAAGCAGCCAGCAAACAAAACAAAAAAAAAAAAAAGGAATTAAAAAAAAAGGAAAAATGTTAAAACTAGCAAAACAAAACCAAAAAAAAAAAGGAAAAGAACCAACCCACCCATTTAGCCCATGATGCCATTTAATTGTCAGAGTTTATTTGATATTTATTATCTGCATTCTACTTTCTACATGGGCTTTCCTTGGTTTGGGAGCTGGGGTCATCGGGTACCTTCAGCCTGGAGCCAGCTCAGGCTGATTTTTGTTTCTCCCCCACCCCCCAAAAAGAAAAACCAAAGTGCTCGTTACCGCATCGAAGTGATTTGCATGCTGGCATGCCGTGCCCAGGACCATGCATGAGGGACCACCACCACCACCACCACCACCACCCCCACCACCAGG